GGAGGTCTAAGAGTTCCAATCTAGGTGCAGAGAGTGTCTGTCCTGAAATTTTTTATGATTTTTCTCAGCCCCTCAAGTCAAATGCCAGGAGAATGCCTTAAATTAGTCCATAAATGCATTTTTTCACAGCCATTGGGATTCATTATTCACTGATTTTCCTAACATCCCATACTGTATAATATGAGCTTCTTACGGCTGTTAAATAAACCATAAATAAATAAAATTTGGTCACTGTATTTTGTATCATGACCTTGACAATGTTCAGTTCCACTTTATACCTCTTTCTTTATCATTGTCACAAATTTAATGTACTTTTTCATGATGCGGAAGGTGGGACAGGAAATTTGATCACTAATACTACTGGGATAAATATCCAGAGATAAATGAAAAACAAGTTTATTCTGTACTTTGTAAAGAGAGGAACAACATACCAATTAAATATTTCAGGTTTTATTACACCCCGATGCAACTACGACCGCTATCCGCAATGGTTTGTTGCCTGTAATGCTGAAGGTGTTGGAAGATGCTGTTAGAAAAATAGATGTTGCGAAACCAGACTCAGAGGAAACGTGTTTTGATAATCTGCAGACTATTAATAATTTACTGCAAGAATTTGTGTTTGGGACGGCGTATGGCATCCTCATCTTTCTGTACTGTCTTCTGTTGCAACGTTCAACTGTCGACAAGTTTCAAGACTTCCTGCAATTGTTCCAGTTATTTGCAGAGAGCCACGGAGGACGACTTGTTGAAAAGACTGTCGTTTCTCTGCTCTCTCTGTCCAATGTAGAAGCAAAGTTATCTACGTCCAGAGCAAAGAAGGTGACAGACTTACGTATTAATTATAAACTGTGACAGATGACAACATTTCCAGTCTTGATGTATTCCTATTAATGTTTTTTGTCTTGCAGGTGATTGACCTGGTTGGTCAACTTGTTATTGCCCTGAAGAAGGTCCGTGGCGAGATCATTCATTCTCATGATTGCCGGCGAGCCAGACACAAACGATGCATGAATCAAGCCTCAGGTGGACTGCAGCATCATTATGACTTACTCGGTGGACCATTTAGCCCCACTTTGGTTGGCCCTCGACAACCCACGTGTTCTGTTGCGTCTCTCTTCATGGTTCTAGTTCGTATCCTGACGGGGTCTAGTTCGACACTGAACATCCGCCCACATGTTCTGCGAGTGATGACCTTGTGTGGGACATGCTGCTGTTTTCCACCCAGAAGCCTCATCAGTCCATTGATAGATTTATTTAAAAATGGTACCAGTGGTAAAGTTAGAATACTGGGTTTTGCTTTATTGGAAAGAACCATCTATTTGGAACTGGGTGCCATCTCCAGTCAGGAGTCTGCCATTTCTTGTGTTTTCTGCAATGGAAATATTATCTCAAAATCAACTTTCTCTCCTAAGGCTGAATATTCAGCAGAGGAATTGCATTGTGAAAGAGTTGTTCAAAGAAAAAATGATCATTGTTCATCAGATGGCAAAAGTTCTACATGTATAGACACGGAAAAAATTGACACTGAAGTGGAAACGGTGTCAAAGAGCCGTTGGGAATGTTTAGAACTGTATCGTGAACTTGTGCAGTCTTCTGACACCAAAGTAAGCCATACCATCATATCCCATCTTCTCAAAGTTGCGCCACGTTTCATTCCTTCTGTTAAGCATCGTTTACTGTTTAAAGTCTTCTACCCTATTTTCATTGCTGCCAAAACACATTTGTTTGAATCCCCCACTTCTAATGACAAAATCTCAAATGCCAAATTTAAAATCTTTTATTGTCTGTCTGCATTCTCTTCCATATTGTCTGGAAATACCGCGTTTGCCGAAGAGTTTGTCGTGCAGTACGACGGGCTGGATCACATTATGCAACTTATATCTTTGCCGTCATTCGCCAAGCTCTGTTGTTCCATTCTAGAAGTCACATCTGTCGTTGAGATTTGGAAACTGGAGTTTGAATCTGGGGACACCGGGAATGACATAGGGAAGTTGCCCTCGTTGCATGTGCTTCAAGAAGCTGTTCAGTCAGCCACTACTCGCATTTTGTCCGCTCTTGGCATTAATAATCCAATAAAATATCCACACGGAACTAATACAGAGTCTAGTTGCCATGATTCAGTAGGAAATGTTCTGGATAGTAAGAAGACTGACGAAGTAAATGAAATAATGCCGATAAATGAAGAAGATAAGATTTTACTGGAGAATATCCGTCTTGAAGTCAAGGACAGATGTAATATGTGTGACGCAGCTGACAGACAGAACAGGGAAAGTTACATGCAGTTACTATCAATTGTGTGCATATTCTGGCGAACGTGTGCCAACCTTGTACTATGCAGTCCGCAGTACAGAGACCATTTCTCACAAAATCAACTTGCTCAGGATGGATTTGTACTTCTTCAGGTCTTGCTTGATAGAGTGACATCCAAGCAGCAACCAGGTAGACTTTATTATGCGTAAATTTGAATGTCTAGTGCTGTAAGTGTCGTCAACATTACTAAAGTCCAGCATCTGTATCTTACACTTCAGAGAGTTGTGCGCAATTTTATCTATATCTAAATGTTGTGACAAATTTAGATTTCTTGTTCTCATAATGGTGAAAATATTGACTGTGTTCTTCTGGATTGTGATGCTGTTTTGTTCTGGTAGGTGTTGCTGACGTTTTGGAGGAGGGTTGGTAACCATGTACAGAGTTACACAGTGTCACAATCCACAAGACTGCAGTCAGCATTTTGTGACAGAAGCTTTCTTTGCTTGTCCGCAGTCATTTTATATTGAAGGTTAGGTTGGTTTTAGGCACATTAGCAACCCTGTCTTTGCACATGAAATCAGCTAGATAACAGATAATCTAATTTTTATTAAATTTGATGTTGTAGAAGTTTACAGCAAATCGTTAATAAATTTCATCTTTTGTTTCCTTGTATTCAAATTAATATTGTGCTTAAACTCTAGCATATAACAAGAAACAGTTTTATTGCTTCAGTGCAGACCAGAAATGTTTTTGTTACTTTTAGTTATGTATGGTAAATTAAATATAAATATTCTTTCTGTTTTGGAAAGATTAAAAATTTCAGTGACATGTTCGAGTGTTTAATATTGATTGTTTCTTCTGTTACGTGGTATTGTGTGAAATGTTAAGTACTTTTTCTACATATATCTTAGGTATGAAAGTGGAAGACTGTCCGATTGCAAGCCACTCAGAAAGTCACTTGTGCATCAAAGTGATTGAATACACGCTCATTGTAATCCTGACAGCGCCACCGGTTCTCAGTGAAACAGGTAAGGCGTCATTCTGACACGTGCTTTAGGCTTACGCTTGTCAGAATGCTTTTACGCTGTTTGTAAAAAAATATTAAAATCGTTTTAATGTGAAAGATCAAAACTTTTGTCATTCCAGAAGAATCTGTCTTCTGACTCAGCTGTATCTGACCAATGAGAAGTAAGCATGTAAGCTTCACAACCATAAGGCAGTGCGGGACTCTGTCGTCACTTTATAAAATTTTAGTTGTGTGTTTTTTATTCTCTCTTTTAGATTTCTTAGAATTATGTTGTGTTAATAATTGCATTGTACGTTAATCATTTTGTGTCTGTTCTTATGGATGTGATGGTACTTAATATATTGGGACAGGTGGCAAGATGTGGATTAGTCAGATTGTTTATCTGTAAGACCGTTGGTATTACGTTACTTTTAAATCCTGTTAGCGTCACAGGACGTCAGTTCAACACAACATAGTACAGAAGTTGGATGTGTACTTCAGTGACAGTGTTATTTTGACTTGTATTGCTGGAAAAATTTTTTTTAAAGAAATGAGCAGAAGATATTTTGGTATTGTTTTAGTTTTATTTTTGCTTTTTCCTGATACGTCATTATTATTGTTAATAATTGTGATTTGCTGGAAAGTTGTATTGTATATAAATTCATTACCACCAAGTCAAAATATCCAGTCACCTGGTACTGTTTTGACGTACCTTACAGCAAATGTGTGGTGCAGCTTACAAGTTCAGGAAATACTAAAACTTTTTTCTTCTTTTTTTTTTGGAAGGTGTGCCAGTGAGCAATGAATCTGTGGTGGAATGTCTGCAGAGAGCTCTGCTCAGTGTGGATGTAGACCGCAGTGTTAACATGCGACAGCTGTGCGATGTGTTGCTCAGATGTGCTGTCGCAAAGGGGTGCCACGAACAAACGTTACCTCTCAACAAGAAGCCGAAGGTCCACGTTCTGTTGTAATAATCCTTGTTGAAAGCAAGTCAGGTTCTAAGTCATTTTGGTAAAGAATGTAAATTCTACCAAGTTCATATGGCGTCAGTACCTGTCCAGTCCATACAGAATTTTATGTGGGTCTAGTAGTTAGTCTTAGTATCAGGACGCAGGACGTTAAAGTTTATTGAGGAGGTTGACTGTAGTGAAGTGGAACAGGAGAGTAAGGTTTTATGATGAACATTTACTGATTTAATGTATATAATAAGTACATTACATAACTTCTTGTATCAAGGTATTTTATATCTTTTCTTATATAATGGAGAGGCTCTCCGGTCCGTATTCAGTCCATGGCCTCCTCAATTCTCCTCTTCCATTCGGTGCTCTGTTAGGTCCGTCTGTCCGAGTCTTTGATCGAGGTTTCAAAACGTCTTCCTTTTTACGGTGCAAGGTTGTTAGCCCCAACCTGGAGGACCAGGGTACCTGTCTTAGTCTGACCTCTCCCCCTCGACCAATCGGGCTAGGGAGGCCCTACCAGTAGCTCTTGGGATCTCATAATTTATATCGTATGTGTTGTTATTAGGTGATGATATTAGATATGATTCGCTGGGCAGGGCATATTGCAGAGAATGGAGGAGATGAGAAATGTACATATTATGTTGGAAGATCTAAATAACATGTACTTTGTAACTTGAAATTTATATTTAAATAACTGGGGGCGTGAATGATAAGTTCAACTTGGTATCGGTGTTAACAGTTTCCTTCGCCGTTGGCTGGTGTTGGCGGTGGTGCCGCGTGGGATGAGGGTATGTCCGAAGGCGAAGACGAGGATGAAGCCGAGGCAGGGGATGGAAGTGAGGGGGGAAGTGAGGCGTATGTGACAGCAGACGAAGGTTATGAGGCAGATGTAGAAGTTCTGGAAGTTTCTGGTACAAGTGTGACCAACTGTGTAAGCGTCGGTGATATCGGAGAAGAATCAAGTAGTTCAATTGCCACCACGACCGCTCTGGCAACTCCCGTCTCTGTAACGCCCGGCGTATTGAATCTGGTTCGAGTTCCTCATGACATTGCACATCCTTCACTCTGTCTTCTGGCTGTAGAACTTCTTGTTCATCTCAACAGAAGGTTAGTCCAGTGGATGAGAAGAGCGGGTAGAATACCCGCGGTGTTAGAAACCTACGGGAGTTACGGAAGCTTGATGTCAGAGTGACCGACACGAAGGAAGGTGGATGGTGCGGAGGCAGACGTACAAATGGCGCGTGCTTCGTCCTTGAAGTAACCACCTGTCTGAAGCCGATTGGCTCACGAGGGCTTGACACTAGATGTGTAGAAGCATCTCCAAAACTCGGCCGCCATCATTTGTGTCTGTCACTTTAGCAAAATTTATGTAATAGAGGTTGTTCGGAATGGTGGGTGATGAACTGTTGTGTTTTCATGACCCAGCAGTTCGAATGAACCGAAGTAGTTTGGAGTGAGGAGTCTTCCTCCATTGCATGGTTGTTTGTATGTAAATTAAATATTTATTTATGTGCTCATTTGTTGTCGTCATCAGATTTCAACTGCTCTTCTATCATATTATTTTCAGAGTCGTGCTTTCCATTGGGACGGCTCTCGTTTCTCTATTCTTTGTAATGTCTGTCCGCACAGTATGAAGTTTCAAGCAATTTATTTATAGTAGCAAAATGCCTGGAGAAGACTAAATTCCGGAAATGCTTGCTACTTCTCAGTTCAAAATATTTTGTCTTCCCGTCTGATTTCTGGAAACCTGAAAATTAAAGTATACAAAACACTAATTTTGCCTGTTTTTTGTATGGGTGCGAAACATGGTCTCTCACTCAGAGGGAGGAACACAGATTGCAGGTGTTTGAGAACAGGGTGTTAAGGAGGATATTTGGGCCTAAGAGGGAAGACGATGGGACGTGGAGAAAACTGCAAAATGATGAGCTTAAAAATCTGTACTCCTCCCCCAATATTGTCAGGGTGATTAAATCGAGAAGAATGAGATGGGCAGGGCATGTAGCGCGCATGGATGGGACAAGAGGTGTGTACCAAGTATTGGTCAGGAAGCCTGAAGGGAAGAGACCGCTGGGGAGACCTAGATGTAGATGGGAGGATAATGTTAGATATGGGAGATAGGAGTTGAAGGAGACTGGATTTTGTTGGCCCAGGACAGGGCTTTGGTTAATTAGGTGATGAACCTTCGGGTTCGGTAAGTCATCTAGTTAGTTAGTTAGCAAAATGCCTGAGTATCTGAGTGATATGAATGTAAGCAATTATGATCTTTGTTTTATTTCTGTGTCATTCCTTTCAGAAGAAGAAAAAGTTCTTCTGAAGGTAATAAAGTATCTTGTAGCTAATATTACAAACACAGAAGTTACTTAAAGAGTCTTCTGTGGAAATATGCAGGTAAGAATATATAATTTAATGTGTTGCATTTTCTCTCCAATTTAAAGTTCAGAAGATGAAATTCTTTTAATAATATTTTAAGAAGTTAAAATTTATTTATGATTTATGTAACAGTTGAGGACCACCTAGTCTCCTGTTAATTGTCTCGGGATTCTTAATTTTTTTTGGGGGGGGGGGATAAAGATGATTGGAGAAAGGAACTCTGCATCCCGTGTTTCGGCATGGCATGATGCTTAGGCTGTGATTGATTTATACGTTCATACAGGATATTGTTAAGTTTCTTTGTTTTTATATTCCTAAAGGATGTAAGCTCTATTTTTTATTTTAAAGATATGCTGCAAAACAAAATCTGCATGCACAAAAGCACCTGCATTTGAAGATGGATGTCTTCTGCGTTGTTGCGCCTTGTAGTCTAGTAGAAGTTTGCAAAAACCCAGAAGACGGCCATCTTCAAACTCGCCGCCACGAAAGCCTGAAATCCCACACACCAACATTTTCTGTTTGCTTATGATAATATTAAAACTGTACTTATAACATCCAAGTGATGGTAAAGGGATAATTGTTCACGTTATCCTTGCGTCAATGCATGAAGACGTACAGGGAGGTTATTTATTTGAATTAAAGTGCATAAAAGGCATATTATTGGACTTACAAATTAAACTGAACTCAATACCACAGAACACTGCCCTTATATAATTCCCATAATTGTTCAAGAAAATTCTCCTCCTTTCGTACCGTTTGAGGGGAGCCAAGGCTGTTTACGCTCAAGAACATTCCAGAAACTATGAGATACTAAATTGAATAAATGTTACTTTGTCTAAAAATAAACATAATTTTATATAATTCTATCAGTAAAGGCAATAAAACAGTCTGATAAATAAACTGGTACAAACCAAAGTTGTAGGTTCAGCACTATCGACAGCAACGCCTGTCATTGGACCCAGTCCTCAGTCATTTCAATCCAATCTCATCCACACAAGATTTACATTTATTTTTATGTTTGTGTAGGTCAAACTGGTTTCCTATCAACATGTCTCCATAAGAAAATTCTGCACATACTTACTGTTTCCCCCATCTGCGTTAATGCATAGTCCACTATAACCGCTTTTATTTAAATATCTGAAGAATGTAGGAGAGTTATGTTCTCCATTTCCACTTAATTCTTCTTTGGTCCAGATATTTTCCATAACACGTCTCATTTTAATTGTGTTTCAATTAAAGAAAAACTTTAACCTGGTTGAATATTGGATTATTTATTAATTATAATACAAAAGGGTTTTAAGACGCAGGTTGGGAAATATATTCGAATTACGAACCTCCAAACTAGATTCTTATCAACGACTTACACAGTTTCAAGGACGAAGCATTGTTGTCGGTAAAATTTCATAGAAATATTTTTCTAGTTGTAGTCGATAATCAACGAAAGTTCGTAAGTGTTGCAATTGATTTTGCATGATGAGGGTTAGGAATTTATGTCAGCAAGCGCGTCGTAAACATTTATAATTCTAGGCCTAATATGAATGCGTTCTCGTTTGTCTCTTTGACCTTGTACGATTGTCGGTGATGAAAAATCGGGCGTAAGCTCTGCTGTGTTAACCATGCTCCAAGATGTTTACACATAAATGTTTAGCTTTTTATCGTGTTCGTGTGGGTTTGCATATTTCTGGAATCAGTGACGTCTCTTCAATATTGCAACGTGTGACAGGTACCTCTTTTTACTCCAGCGAATTCCGTGTACGCACGTTTGCGGAAGTTACGTCATACAATACTCGTTTCCACCATGTTTGAGAAACAAGGTAAATAATACCCCCTCTTCCCCGCACCATCTGTGGTCCACGTGGTTGTGACTGTGTACTACCTGTTCTAAAACCATTTATCTGGAAATGGAATTGGGTTTAATGTAAAATATACGTTTCACTTCTCTCCTGGCACATACAATTAACAGTGGAGCAATCAATGTGTTAGCAACATAGCACACGATAATTTCAGGTCGGAATTATTGTAACAATTTTACGTATGCATAACTGTTAGTACCGATAGACTCTCCTTAGTCAGCATGAGCTGTAGCCATACCAAGATGCAGCCTTACCCCTTGAAACTTAAAAATATAGAAAGGCAGTTACGTCTCAGAATGAATATTACTAAACTTACGATGAACAGTTACGGTTAATAGTTTTAATTAGTCCCTTACCTCACAAAAAGGACCAAATAATTACATTCCTTGCGATAACATATTTAAAATTATGAAGGTATTGTGTAATGGTTCTTTAAAGTAACAGCCCATCTCTCTCACTGACACATACTTTCGCCATATTGTTTACTTCGCCTCTCAAACATGGTGGAATCGAGAATAGGCTAAACTGTTATGGTGGGCCTATTAAGCACGTGTTGCGGAAGGTTTGAAAACAATTATGACGTTCGGTTTTTAATTCACTGCTGTAACTTTCAAAGTGAGTGAGTGAGTGGTAAAATTTCTGTTGATATAACATATTTTCTCTCTCTATCTTGTTAGTATATAGTTTTACTTTTTACAAAATAGCTTTGGAATTTAAATTTTTTTAAAAAAAAATTAAATCTGTATGATTATTAATGTGATTACATGTTACAGTAATTTTTACTTTGTTACGTCTAAACTATAGAGGAGTTTTAAGTTGGATTATAACTAAAAGTCTGTCACTTAATCATAATATAATGAATTATTTTAAACTGTTTCAAATGTGCGTGTAGTTATTCATAAGCTCGACAAATACAAGTGATCTTTGCAGTGAGATTAAAAACTAATTAAAGTGTGCTTAGAATAAATTATATAGAGAAATGTCCACAGAATGGTGTGGGGTTCAGGGTGAAGCAGTCTGTGAAGGACTCGTCATTAAGATTTCTGATTGTGACAATGGTTTGTACATTTGAAGATGATATATTGACATTTTTCATTGTCTGGGGTATATTTCATGTACATGAGATTTAGTGAGGGCTCTCCTCTGTCTTCCAAGTGGTTGATTGCCTTTTTAATGACATTTTTTTATTTTATGATTTGTGGCCACTGTTGGGATCAGATGTGGCCCTTTTTAAAAGTCGCTTTGTTCTTCAGTGTCCTGGGTTTATACCCAACCATTCCCACGAATTATAAAATAGAAAGTAATTGAAAGTTTGTACAATTTGAGGTTTTTATGACGGTGAGTACGAAGATGGCTTTCTTCTGGGTTGTTGTGCCATGTAGTCTGGTAGAAGTTTACCGACGTTTCAGAGGTCCTTTCATTTCAGTAACATTGCGGTATCGCATGTCAACAATTTTATTATGTTCTTTTTATTTGAGAATGGTTATTCTTCTGCGTGATACCTCAGCTCTGCAGCTAAGGGGTAGGAGAGGCGAAATGGTGTGTAGTGGGAAAATTATAAGCAGATATGCATATATATTCTTAAGCCATGTGTGCATTTGTGTGTAGAATATCAGCGTGGTTACAACGAAAATATTTGATGACAGAGAAACCAGTCTTCAGCAGTTCTCGGCCTACTTATGCTAACTATGAAGACTGTTATTTATATTTTTAATCTTACTGACTTTGCTTTGATTTTCATACTATATCAGAACGTGGATTCAATATTTTTTAGGTTACCAATAGTACCATTAACTTGGACTATATTGTTTTAGGTATTACGACATGCCAGTTGAAGCCGCGGCTTCGTACCCTGATCGACCAGCCGAGTCAACACATCTTCAGGGCTTGGTTCACTGTTTGCAGCGGCTCGTTGCTTTATGTCGTGATAATGTACACAACTGCCTTCTGCTGGCAAACAGTGATCTCATGATGAAGTTACTCAAAGGGTTCACTCCCATCCTGTCTGTCAGCGAAACTAAATTCAGTGGTGAGCGTATAAGCCCAGTCAGTTATTGGCTTTCATTGTTTTATACAGTAATTACGAAGGGTAACAATTTGTAGTGTTCTCACATAATAGTGAGTGTTTTTCAACACCATAAATGTATTTTATTAAAACAGAAGTATTATCCATAATTATTATTTGTGTCTTAGTTTACTTAAGAATGTTGTAAGTGTTTGGACATTAAATTTGGCCACCTTAAATGAAACTAGACATACAAAAGAAGTAATAGATTTTGCGAAAGAAAGGAAATGGAAATTTTTGGGCTGTGTGTAACAGAATTGATAGGTGATATAATAAACAGCTCTGTGAAGGCTGGGTAACAAATTACTTAAGAAATTGGGTCTTAAGTTTGTTGTAACTGCAGTGCAAACATCAGTATAAGACTGTAAAAATAAAAATATTCCTTTAAAAGCATGAAATATGATGTGGAATGGAGAATCACTATGCATTTAGGTTGTTAAACTCTTTTATCGTGATGTTCTTGTTTGATTTATTTTTATAATTGCTAAATATTTGTATTAATTTAATAAATTTCATTTATGTTATTCAGAGTTGCAGCGGATCACCCTGGAGCTTGTGACACTCCTTGCTTGCTACAACATCAGTCCCAAAGAGCTGTCCTTGTATCTTAACATTTTTAAGTCAGAACATCCTCCACTGGTAAGTATTATTACTTAATTTCTTAACTAAGCACAACTTCGTTCAGAGGGGAAATGAAGCCGGCGGTCTCACGTCGTAGATTTACGGCATGTGAAAGAACCTTGCAAGCGTGAACGAGATGCTTCGTAAGTAAAATTCAGCGGCCATTTCTCACACTCGTCTCTCCTGATTCTCTACTAGATGGCTCTAGCGGACAAAAATCAGGATTGAATAGAAATTGTGCAGAGGCAGTGGGCTGGTCACTCGCTACTCACAAATGCACACTTCGAAGACCAAGAAACCTCCGAATGGAGGAGGCGAAGACCCACAGCTGGGTTGTAGAGCCAGGGAAGAATAAGTAATTTGTAGTCTGGTTATAACTGCAGTAATTTTACTAGGAATTGTATGCAGCAGGGATATACATTTAATCTAAGTACATTTGTCTAATCTCGTACGTGCATTAGTAATGGTTTTAGTAATTTACGAAAGCAAAGGATAACTAATGTACGTGCAATGAATTTAATTTAATGTTGTAAGTGCAGAAACGGTACAACATAAAGGCTCACATCATAGTCTTGGTACCAGTATTTAGAAGACTTCATTGCATTCAGTTGTGGAATCTTCAAATATTGTCTAGATTATGATGTCAACTTAACGCTTGCCTAATGCTTGCAGGGACCTCTGTTGACGGCGCTTACTACTCTCGTAACTAGTAGCCGTGCACAACCGAACTACATTCTGTGCTTCCCGGCAACAGCAGAAGCATATGTTCCTGCACCCAACAACAGAACGTCAGGATCAAACAGTCCTACTTCTGATAGTCCCACAGGAGATGGTAACGGAGCTGGAAACCTGGCTAGAACACTTCATCAGCAGCATAGAAGAGCAGGTAAGGACCTTGTAGATAGCGACTTCAACGTTTTGTATTGTCATTTATGAAATATTTCTTTGGTTAACCTTTATCTTCAATTATGAATTTATTTAATGTGTTTAGGATATTCAATTTACCTGTGTCGTTAGCTTCAGTATGGATGTGTCTGTGGTGATCTTATTAATTTGTTGTCTTAATGCCCTTCCTGACCTCTGCCAGTCTGAAGAGGTGCAGAAATGCATTTTTTAAGTGGAAGCATCCATCACTGCTGTCTCCAATAATTAGTATGTTTACTGTCAGAGGGCACATTTGCGTGGGCTCCGGATTGTGGTTGGAATCTGACGTTCTCCATATTTCCAAAGTTTTGGCCGCGATAGAGCCTTTTAGTTTCGCGTGAGATATCTACACCGTGGACCAAATGTTTTTATGTGGAATGTTGTTACTTGCAGGTGTAAGGTCTTCGTGGTCTCAGTGTGCTTTGTCACTTCCCTTAAACGCAGACTTGGGATGGTCACTGTGGCTTCAGGGTTTCTCCCTCTCGTTGTGGTTACGAATGGAACACGGAAACAGTGGCGTGGCTCCTGACCTGACTCGAACAGCCTCATTTTCTGCTGTCTCAGACAGTAGTTCTGTATCAGATTGGGGTGTTACTTCTGATGGTACTAAAGATCACGGTGAGTACAGGAAATGTCTCGGTATCACAGTTCTTGAATGTGTTTTGTGAAATGCATCTCTTATGAGATGTACTAAACCCATGATAAACATAATTTACAACATTTAAAATTCTAAAAAAATTATTATGCTTTTGAGACGGCGCTAATCTCTGAAACACTGTTAATTTTAGAAATTTAAAATTTCGGCGGTGAGAGATGTTCAAAGAAAACTCCCTATGGAAGACAGGACACCACTGTCACCAAATGCTAGAGGTTAGGTTAGAATCCTTTTCTAAGTCCTTTTGTCTGTAGTACAGGAAGGTTTACGATGCCATTCTGTCCGTTTCAGTTTACCATGGAGCAGTTGGTGCGTCTGCAGTTCGAGTAAAGCCAGTCACTAAGGAGTCAACATTTCATATATTTTCTATTGGTTATGAAGCACTTGTTTTGGAAGCCTGGTTGGATACTAGTGTTGGTATGTGATTGAATTTCGCAGAGTGTTTGTATACGAGATGTAGGATTTTTTAATTTACCTTTTCCAAGTACATTTTTATTCATTGTGTATGACAGTGTATATTAAGTAAGGGGAATCATGGAGGAACAAGTCTTATTTGAACCCGGATTTAAGGACCCGTTGAAATTTAATAGGGAATGGATTTCTTTCATATCTCGTACCTTACTCTCCGTTTCTTCCCTTTCGTACTTTTATCGATTCCCTTCTGTCCTTTCTCAACATATCTCACCTTTTAACATTGCATCTTTTAAATGAAACTGCTGTGAAGATTAGTAGTAATTTGCAAATCAGGTAATTTAAAGTTGATTTTCAGGTACGGTAACACTGAAACTGACTCGATCAGACCCTCGAGCATGCGAGATTTTATCGGAAGCAGCAGTCGAGGGACTTCTGAGTGCAGGACAGTGGCATCATTTAGCTGTTAATGTCTGTGACTACATGCGTGCTAGGAAGACTGTTATCGAGGTAAAATTTATTTGTATTATTTTGTTACATCATGGAAGTTGCTTGCTGTTAAACATTTCTCTTCAACTTACATATAGCACCTGAACATATTAAAAAATTATATATCCAAGTCTTGAAGCTTTCATGGCGAATGCATGAAAATCTTCTTAGGCGATGAGGCACGTCAGAGGTTTGTTTAAAACTGACATCTCTGAGAACTGCTCTGTCTCCATAATCAGGTTTGATGTGGTGAGTGATTGTGTCTTTCTGATATCTAGGATGTGCGGTGACTTTGTCGGTGCTCCAAGATCTTATTGTTAACGTCCTTCCCAGTCAGAAATTTCATATGATCTTTGGGCGTGATTCCTGAAAGTAATGGAACTATGGATATTTTAAATGTGACACAAATATCTACATCTATTAAGAAATGTAACCTTTTAGAGCCATTTGTATTGTGTAATTCATATGTCTACATTTATTTTTTGTGAAATACCTATTTTACCAAAGGTTACGTAACCAAGAAAATTAAGAAGATGACTGACTGTCTTCTGGGATGTTGCACTGTGTTGTCTGGTAAATGCTGACCTCTGTTTTTCTGATGTAATTAATGACAAAGCGTTACATATTATATATATTTTGGTGTGGTTTTGACAATTCAGGTTACCCTAATTATGGATGGTTGGCAGGAAGCAAAAGTCCTGCTTCCGTTCACCGGCCTCCTGGTTCGAAGAACTCGAGCTACGTGTCTGCTGCTGGGTCATTCCATAGGCGCATTGGATTCAGAATGTTGTTCTGGGTCCTGGTATCTGGGTAGTGTTATGGTGTTCAGGAGCCCTGTATTTACCAAGCAGCGGGCTGTGTACCTGGTGGGACTGGGCCCCAACTACACTAACCTGACTGACTGTGCTGACGTAGATAAGCTCAGTCCCAATTTTACATCTGTGTTTGGACCCAAGACATTGTTCTGTGGCATTGACTGGGATGCCGTTCTCGACGGGAACAAGGGAAATCTGAAAGAACTGCAGGTAAACTGCCCTTAATTTTTGTGTTCCTTCGCGTACTAAAAAGTATCCGTGTCCCATGCGGGATTCAGATTCTTGATCCCAGCTTTTGAGCATCGCAGACCATAGACTTCTTTGACTGCACAGCTACTGTATAGCATTTTTTTTTTTCATGTGTTGCTAAGATATATAAAAATATTCTTTTGCCCTTTTTTTAACTTTGTACTGAATATTCTTTATTTTTCATTTCTTGTACGTGTAAGTGTATTTCATTCTTTTGAACTCTTTCCATTTTCTTGGTGTATTTTCTACAGACATTAACATTCATTAACAGGTTTTCCATATTTATGTGGCTTTTGGTTTAATTTGTTAATAGTACTCCATTTTGCATATGTAGTTCAGATTTTCCGTACAAATCCTTGTTTTCTTTTTTTAATGTACCAAAATGGACGAGTAAGTAAGTGGGTGCATGGGACCCTAATCTGAATGACTGCTGGGATAATTTTTGTAAAATAAGATCTACTCTTTCTAAATTGTGATGGGTTCCATTTTTATGTTTCAGGATAATTTACTCCTGATTTACTGTGCCCAGAATCCTAAGGTGGTCAGTGTTTATCCGCAAGTGGTAACTAATCCTGGAGGTAAGTTGATGTATGCCATCAGGAAGAAATTTATTTTGTAAATTGTGGTATAAATGCCGCACATGATATTTTGTTATTACGATAGATAAAAGCTGAGGTGCAAGAAGTACAATGGGAATTTACTTTAAAGTTCAATTCTCTTTTCTATAACAGTAGAACTAACTTCAAACAAAAATACCTATAATTAACTATTATAGAGTATACTGTGATATTTCTGTTCCTTGTGCGTCTTGGTTTTCATTAAGATTCCCTCCCCAGCTGCTGAAGAAAGAATTCATACTATGGAGCTCATATAATATTACCTCACCGTTGCTTTCCGTATTGAAATTGAAATGCTGATAATTGTCGTAGGAGTAGTTGGTTCTCTTTTCCCGGGGCAACCGGGGTTTCGTGTGGTGACTTTAGATCAGCGAGCCAGTCAGCAGTTGCCTCTGTCGTTAAGTCCTACGCTGCTGGCGCCGCTCAACTCCCGCCGCTACCAGGGCCTAGTAGCTGCTGCATCCATCTTGGGTGGCACACCCGTGTTTCTTTTCCTCTTTGCTAGGGTAAGTTTACGGAACCCTGTTTGATTTTGTTTTTATCGTGTGGTATGCTGTGCTGTTTGATTCAGTACCATGTAGAATGCCGATTTTTCCCACAGACCTTATTATTCGTCATTTACAATTTATCTTATCATATGTTATTCCCCCTGCTCCCTGTGACAACTGAAGATGAAGGAAAATGTTGATTCTTTGGTAGTGGTAGTGATGATTATGATGATAAACTGTGCCTTAAACAAAGAAATTAGTAACATTATCGCTACTTTTATAAACTGTGCCTTAAACAAAGAAATTATTAACATTATCGCTACTTCCGTTGTTTTTATCTGTGTTTTGTTTGAAGGTGGTTGAGCTGAAGGTTTCTCAAGAGTACCAGGCTCGCACGCTGTTTCTTTTGCTGAAGCTTGTTCAGAGTGACAGTGAGTTGTTCTCGCAGTTTGTGAACCAGGACTGCCACAAACTACTCCTTAAAGTTCTGCAGTCACCAAGATGTGTAGCTGGACATCACATGCTCAAGGTAAGAAAACATTATATCTGAATGGTGTTTGTAATTTATCGCCATTAGTCACATCAACCAGATGTTGGAATAATACATCGTTGAAACACGGTCCAGAAAGTTTCCTCCTACTACTTTTTTCTCACTTGTTTGTAATCACTACCTAACATTACCATAATTTCATGCACTAACTTTTCCAGCTTGTTTCATTGACCAACCAAGGTAACAATAAAATCATAATAACAGCTCTGTCGTTAACATAGCACAGCATCTTCCCACGGTGTATGTCATTATCAGTGGACTTTCATCTTCTTGAGGGCATTTGGGCTTATCATTATCAGTCAATTGTAGAAAATGAAGGAGAGTTATGAGTGTAATACCACTTTCATTTTCAGGCTGTTCTGGACACCTGCTGTGACAAACCTGTCCTCCAGTACCAGCCAGGTCCTCGTCGGTTCCACATAGCAACTCGTTCTGATGCAGTTATTGTCAATTCGTTTTTGTTGACAACTATAGTTGGTTCATGGCGTGACTGGGAACGTGCTGCCAATAAGGAAGAAGATTGTACCTTTGATGAGGAAGGCGGCGGCGTTCTGGGCACGTTGTTCCGAACGCTGCACGTTCTGTTGCGGGATGACCATCCATATCGTGAATTTAATGCTGCCCAGTTGAATCGTGTGCGAATGGTGGAAGCTCTTCTTCTCTTTTGCAAGGTTGGGTTATTGTTTTATAACATTTTATTAAGAAGATGAAATGCAAACAGTTTAAGGATCTGTGTGCATATATTTTACCATTAAATTGTGCATTTGTCAAATGATGGTAAGCTTCATTGGGGCTACAAAAGACAATGGCATATCTTGATTTTGTTTTGTAAAACATGATTGTTTATCAAGTGTAGCCTGTATTTGTTTTTTTCCTTCAGGAACGATTTCTGTACGAAGAGACAATTCAGCTCCATATATCTGTTTGCTGTTCGCTGGTGGAACTGATCCGTTCATTAATGGGTGCGCCACCGGAGTTCTCTCACATCGTGGCAGTTACTGACTTCCTCGTCCTGTTGCATCGGGCAAGCGCCACCTACATTACGCATTTGCGGTCCAGTTTCTACTTTCTTCTTTCTCCAACACCTCCAAACAACCCTCTTAATCTCAGTGGAACTGGCAGTGCCCTCAGTACCAAGCCTGGACCATCACCAAGACCTGTTGCTCACGGAAAGACAGGTAATCTTTTTTTTCCATACGTAGCCCTGGTGTCTGAGTTTTGATTCACTATTTAACTTTGCACTATTATTGTGTATATCGATGCTAGTGACTTAATTCTTCTTGGCAGACTCATGATTTTCTTTGTTATGTGGAAGGAGAACTATAATATGAAAACTTCACTGAAGTTTGTTCATGTACCTTCAAAATTTCAATTCTCATATCCTTCAGATGTTATCTGGATCATTCCAAAGGTCAGTATAATTCTGAGGTTTGTTTAAAGTTTTGTAAACTATATTTCTTTAACATGGAAAGGTTCTTAGCCCTATAACCAACCCCAAGACAGGAGTACTGCTACTTTCCACCAGTTTATAATAATTCTTTATTGGATTTATATTATTTTTAAATACTTTGTCTTTATTTTTCACTTCTACAGGTGCTGATTTTGAATTTGTTGTGTTACCAGTTATTATTTTATGTGTTTTTCCATGTTGTTATTTGTCATGTATATGTGTTACTCTTTTGAAGGTGGCAACCGTGCAGCTAAATCAAAATCTGGAAGGAAGGGTTCAAAAGATACGAAAGAGATTGACTTTGCTCAGCCTGTGGATCCTCAGAAATTAAATAAGGCTTTAACAAATTTGCAGGTAAATTATAGTTTCAACTATTAATTGAGCAAATTACAGCCTTTCAGAATATTGTGCCGTGTGGTCTTGTAGAAGTTGGCCGATGTTTTATATATGCTCACTGCCTCCATCACCGTCCTTCTGATGATTACAATAAATGAATATCCTTCATAATGAACTTTTTAGTGCTATGTTACATTATTTCTGCAAGAAATTCAGGACTTTTACTTATGAATGAAATTTATGTTATAATTAATTACATTTCTTACCATTTTTTACTTTCAGATTAAACAAAACTCTCTAGATGGTGGAAATGTAGATTCTCAGTTTACAGCTGAAAATATACAAAGTGTGGTTGAAGTAGCATCAACACAGCTTGTTGACAGCAACCGAGCTGCAGACAATGTTGACTCTGGAATCGCAGGAAGTTACCGAGAAACCAATAGTGACATAGGAAGTTTGGAAGGCCACAGGAAGGCTGGCAGCTGCACAGACACTGCTGACAAATTAATAGCTTGTGCAGAGCAGACAACATTCTTCTCACCCACTACGGACAGAGGAGGGGAAGGGGGGTTAACTTTCAAGGAGACCGGGGGGTCAGAGGAGGAAAAAGAGAAGTTTACTACTGAAACAGGGATGGTAAGTTGTACCAGCTATCTGTTCATTACAGTAAAGAAGCCGTACCAGTTTCTTTTTTGGAAAAATCTGCTAGGTTAATTCCACATAATCGTAGCGGCCGGTTTTCCTCTTTAGTATACACGATAATTTCTGACTTATAATTTAATTATATAATATTTTTAACCATGTTTATAGAAAGAACCTGCAGTTAGCCCATGGCGCGATGGTGAACTTACTGAAGACGCACAAGAAATGATGAAAGATGCTGAACCATACGTTGCTGTTGGTGAAGGAGAGAAAGGACTTGTGGTGGAAGGACTCCTTCTGTTACTTCGTGACACACTTTTAATTCTCCCTGACAACATGGCTCATCAGGTCTTGAATCACGTGGTTAAGGCTGAATTCCTGCTCGTCATGGCGAATCATTCTGATTCCCGTGTTCGTATGGCTGTTGTTAAGGTAAGCTGTTTTGAGTGTAGTTTGTTAGCGTGTAACAAGTATAAAAGATGTTGGTGTTTGGAATTCAGATTGTTAAAACAGTGAATGAAAGGATAGCAGTTAATAATTTTCAGAGATAACTAACATTTTTTTGTCCTACAGTATGAGGCCATCTTCAAGCTATTTTAATATTAATTTCCATTAATTGTAGCCTTCTTAATTCTTTAGACTTTAGTGTTTAATCCTCTGTGTTACCATATTTTGTCTTACATCTAGCACCACAAGAACTTATTTCTTCAGAAATGAATGTGTGCTTTTTCACTATTCTTCTTCTTTTCTGTCTTAGTTTACAATTTTGACGGGTAGATTTATTTACTATCTGGAGGTGCTGTCTGCTATTTAAACTGTTTGTGTCCTTTGTAACAGGTGCTGTCAGCATACTTACAGCGCTCGACTGATGAGGAAATTAACAAGTTCCTTAAATTGAAGGGTTTCCATCAGCTGGCAAATCAGCTAAGCTTGTTTCCTGCATCGCTGGAGCTGGTTGAAGCTTGTGTGTCGCTGGTGACACGCTGCAATGTAGCGCTGGAAGAACAGACTGAGGTGCCATCTCTGTCTGAGCTCTCATTCCTACAACTCAACAGCTTTCCACCCCTGCTGGCTCTGCTCCCCAGAGCTGTTCACGATGTCGCTCTTACTCATAATATGATTCTCTTCCTGCGGGATGTGTTTGCTAAGGTGAGCTAGTTTGAAATTGTCCATTGATCCAAATTAACATGCCATATTCATGAGTATCCAAGAAAACATTATTTTATTAATTCGTTATGGCTCAAATCAATAGTTATAATGAGAAAGCCTTTGCTAGGGTACGTGTCCTCGTATTATTAGTATTACTGTTGAAATGTCGCTGTGTTACAGGTACCAGAGTCGTTTCGCCCGTTGCTGGACTGTGGCCTTTTGGAAGTTTTAGCTCGCACGGTAGTTGCAGTGGCACACCAAGCCCCTCAGACCACTGACTTATGTGGAATTTCAGAACAGGACATTCTATTTGGTGACATACACGTGTTCTTGGTGACACTCTCAGCTCATGTTCTGCACACTCCTGGTGCTCACCACATGCAGGTCTCTGTGCGCACGTTATGAATTTGGATAGAAAAAGTGTGTCTAACTCTTATTGGTTGAATATCGTGGCTTGTGAGTGGTCCAACTTGCAGTATATCACATTGGCGTACTGGTAAACTGTTAACTGAAATTTTAATCGATGCTCAAAATTAAATCCATCATCAGGCACTACAGATACGGATTTAAATACCATATTAATTCATTTTTGTCCGTATTTTTCTGTATGGCAAAAGTGTAAGCTGTTCATGTTTCTTTAGACCTAACATTAGGATCTGTATTCTTATGATCTTTCTGAAGTTTTCTAGCTGATTATTTTTATGTATATCTTTTGACGTTACCAATTCCTTACCTTGGCAGGTACTTAAAGACATTCAACTACAGCTTAGCTATTTGGAGAAGGTTGAGCGTATCACATGTGGTACACGTGGTCGCTGTGTGCGTGCACTTAGAGAGGCTCAGTGTGTTCTGTTAGAAGGAGAATTGGATGTCATTCAGGACATGATAACATTTTTGCAGCAACCATCTGGCACAAAGCTCATTAATACCACCACCTTCCTGACATCAGGTAAGGTTAGGTTTTACTAGCACCTGATGACAGCCAGTGGGTCATTAACGTCATAATGTAAAATGTTTGCTGTCAACACTTTTATTCATTTGTGGAATATAAATCATCATCGTCATCATCATTCTGTCATTGAGAGTAAATGCAGTTCTTTCCTCAATGAATAATTCATCTCATTGTGTTTCATCCTTGTTACGTGGATAAAGGCCAGAGAGACCAAAAGACTTCACTAGAAAGAAAAGAAAGTACTTCAACTTTCATTTGTTTTCTTTATAATAGATTGTTAAATTTCTTGTATAAGGTTAGAAGATTGGTTTCACTGAGTTGATGCAGAAATTTATAAGCACAGTGTGATAGTGAATTGCAGAGCACTTGATTTGTTTGCCTCATTTAAGATTTATGATTAATGCATATTTCTGCTAGTTTCAAACTTGCTCCTTTAAAATTTCCCCTTAATTAGTGTTCTGATGTGTTGCTTCACTCTCGTACAAACCAGAAGTAAGTATGTCACCATATTTTCTTGTGTTTTCAGTACTTTCGACAAGTTACGATGCTGAACAGACATTAGGTGGTAGTTTGGAATTGCAGGGTTTTACAAATTGTGGCTCAAATCCTGTCAAATCAAGTTTCCAGAGTTCAGCTTGTAATGGGAAGTACGGCGGTGGTAATGGGCTAATCAGCGCAATAAGAGAAGTTCCAAGAGGAGAAATCAATGACCGCTTCAAAACAGTGATCGCAAACTCTGTTGATTTTCTTATTAATGTAGGTATGTTAATTATTGATGATACTGAACCTTGTACTTTGAACTGCATGTTGTAAAGATAATTATACGATATTTCTTCACTTTTTACATCCTAAATTTTTGTCACATGCGCTTTAGAGGCAAAAATGACAACAACAAAATATTTCATACTTAAATTTTACCTTTGTCTAAGAACTGCCCTCATGAATCTCATAATGTCGTCTGACATTTAAGGTTAGATTATGGGTTATTTGAAATCATAAAAGTAGTAGGTGAATGTGATAGATAGAAGGATGTTATGACATCTTAAATATATACGAGGATGTGGATTGTGTTTGTGGATCCTTTGCTGAGTATAGTGAACGCAGTAATGAACCTCTGGGTTCCATGAAGAGATGAACGACCATTAACTTTTTAAGGACTGTGCCCCGTGGACTTATTAAAGAAACATATGTACATGCATGAAAGAACATTTTATTTTGATATTTTGCAAGTTTACCGATGACTAGTAAGAGTAGATATTTTCTGTCTAATACAAGTGGTTTTGTCATGAGAGAGAAATGAGGGATTTTTCTTCTGATTAGTTATAATTTATATAATGTTAACAGCTAGTGCGTGCTGGACAAATAGTTTTACTGCTAGCAGCTTTGATTAATTAAAGATATTTATGTTCACACATACATAATAAAAGTAGTTTGGTCATTTCTGTTTTTAAAGATTCCAGAGATGCTGTTTTTCCTGCAGGGATTCAAGTTTTGGAAAATCACAATTGAATTAACATAAATATTTTGGGGGAATTTTGTTGTTAAAGTAATAATCTCCATTGAAGTGAGTGGAATAATAATTTTCATATTCATTTTAGAACAGACAGATGGATGCAATATGCCAGGTTGCAGTGTGGAACTGAGCTATGCTCGTCGACTATTTGCCACAGTATTGCAAGGTCTGAGCTCGGTTCTTGAGAAACGAAGCACAGGTCAGCGCGGCACTTGGGTTGCTGTCATGTGGGCTGTACGAGACCTGCTGAGAATACAGGCAGCACATCTTCTGGTGTGGCTGCTGTCACCATACCAACCTGTTAAAATAAGAACCTTTGTTGTGCACACGCTCCGTACCGAGTCTCAGTGCAAGGAACTGCTGTCCAACATTCTGCATACACATGCACAGGTAATTACAGAAGAAATAAAGTGTACATATTTTGGAACTTCAAAACGTAACTTCCTGTCTTGGATAGCACACAGCAGAATAAGTTTTAAAATATGTAAAAAAAATACTAACGAAATTGTGCTTTCAGTTTTAAAGTAATAAATGTTCTGTTTCCAGAATGAACAGAAGTTCACAGTGTTTCTGTGGGACTTGCTCCATAGATGTTCTGGCCAGATGTCGGGTTCTGACTTACGGGCTTGCCAAGACTTCAGCCAGCAGTTACAGTCCTGGGGTATTACAAACCTTATTTCTGGTGACCTTTGGGAGGATGAGCTGAGGATGTTACTAGCAGACATGGACAAGCAGCGTCAACAGTACGAGAAACAGAATGAGGGAGCTACTCATCGGTTGGTTACTTTTCTCCATCCACGTGATAGAATAGAACATTCAGGAAATTCTTGAGCATGGTTGGATATGTATTAATTATAGACTTTGTAGTACTTTTAACGTCAGCTAGTCGTGGCTAATTCTGCCTGTACTGAAGGGTTGTTGACTAGATTTTAACTTGGGGGATTTAACTAAAAATTATATTAATATTGAGAAAATGTCTGTATCTGTGAAAATGTTATTGTCAAAATATTATTGTGAAATGTTCTTAAAAGAACTGTAATGCTAGATTTTGTTTGCATAAAATTATTTTTCCCAAAATGGGTTGAATGTTTTGTGTTCCTAAAATTAAAATAAAATTTGGAGTTTATAAATCAATATATACAGTACTTGTATTAGCAAATACCTACTTGTATGTATTTCTGATGGTTACTGTCTTGTGTCACGTAAAGTAATGTGTATGAATATTTTTTCTTAGGAGTGTGTTCAAGTTTGAAGGACTAATGAAGACTGTTGCTGAAGCTGCCATGAGCATCACTCGTACCGTCGTGGATGCACAAAATGGTGAGCGTAAAGCGTTCATGGAACACATAAAGCAAGCGTACAGCGAGAATGTGCAGATTCGCATCAAGTGGCAGAAGATCATTCAGCAGTTATCGCACGAACGAGCTGTGTGGTTCTTTCCAGATTCATATCCAAAGTAAATATAATAAATACTTATAAATGTTATTATTTTTAGGCCTACTTGATGTTGTTCAGTTTGTTTTTTGTTGAATAAAAAAATATTATTTTTACAGACCTCACAATAACACAGTTGTAAGTTTGTATAATTTATCTGTTTATTGTGAAAAATAATGTGCTTCTGCACTCTGATAGTTGGAACGTAGTTGTCTTCGTGTATTTTTAGATCCTGGCAGTTGGATGCCACAGAAGGACCTGCCAGAGTCAGGAACAGGTTGCAGAGGTGTCATCTGAATATTGGCAGAAAATACTTGATGCCAGGAGCCCAGCGCAAGTTAGGTTGGTTGTACTGTAAATTCTCAGGACTGAGCCTGTTCAGTATTGTGGCTGACTGATTATTTATTTGTAAAAACTTTGTAATTGTTATCAGTATGTTGAAGTTCTTTTACTTAAAGATTTCTGTCTTCTGGGTTATTGCGCTGTGTAGTCTGGCCGATGTTAACCAACGTTTCAGAGGTCATACTGCCTCCGTCATCAGGGCGATGATCGCCCTGATGACGGAGGCAGTATGACCTCTGAAACGTTGGTTAACATCGGCCAGACTACACAGCGCAATAACCCAGAAGACAGAAATCTTCATATTCACCGCTGTGAGAACCTCAAGTCTTCTTTTACTTACTTTCAGTGCTATACGATATTGCTTTTAAGATAATTAATGAATAAGGTTATGATAGGCTGGATATATAGCTCACTGTATCAATAATTCGTGTACAGTATCAGAAACTCTTTGTAAGCAACCATCTTGAATGCCAGGTTCAAATATCTTTCTTTCAGATGCAGTGAAGAATCCAGACCCATTGTCGTACCTCTTTGAACAAGATAAGAAATCGTCGACATCCTCTGTCCTCATAGAACGCCTTCACACAAATGAGAAGATTCAGCACATGTGCACAGCGAAGGTAATCACACCTGCTAACGAGGTGCCAGGTGAGCTCCTGATTGGCGAAAGCTGCCTCTACTTCGTGGCTGACGACAGTATGCTGGAAACTGATCTTGCTGAGGTTTGTACCTAAATGTTGCCACTTTATGTCTCCTTATAGATCACCGAGTGTAATTGTTCGTACATTTCTCAAATTTTTTGGTCTCAGTTTTGTAGCACACTTTGATTTCACCTTTCTGTTCCTTGTTGATACGAGAATCCCTCATTTCTCACTTCTTATAAAATCCTGTGCACAGTCCTTATTCCTACACCACAAGCTTTGGCAGTAAGATTAATTTTTGTTTGCTCATCTGAGTAATTTATTTCCTGAAAAAGTTGTTCACGTTTCACGCTGTTGACTTGCTGAAATGTTACTGGTCAGGGGACTTTTTCTTTGGTGTGACACAACGTTGACTGGAAGGACCAGGTTCTTTGTCAGTTTCAGATTCCACGTCATTCACTATTCAAAATAAAAATATTCCGAATACCTAATCCTGTATTGACTGAAATACTAAATTATGTATGGCTTATTATTTACTTCTGGTTAAAATGTCTGTTACAGGTGACGGCTGGAAGTTTGGATGTATCTTCCACTGCATGGCCATTTGAAAATGTAAAGGAAATACACAATCGGCGCTTTCAGCTCCAAGAGAGGGGACTTGAAATATTTCTGCTGAGTGGAAAAACCTATCTTGTGGCTTTCCAGTCATCTAAAGTAAGTTCTTATGTCAAATTAAAAAATTACCTTTCTATAACTTAAGTGTTTCTGTTTTGTTTTCGGGTATGTTCCTTTATCCTAGTTCATGCAAGTTTGTGCTTTGAAAGTAGAATAATTTATTGATTGTAAGTTATGATTTTCAAAGGGCTTCATTTAGTTGTTTTAGAGGTACGGATTTGAGGATATAGCAAATTGTCTCATTTCATTTCAAAATTAAAATGTGAGAAAATATTTTCTAATTTCCATGTGAAATGCTTAAACAGACAGTGAAGAGGTGCAGACATTTAAAACCTCAAATCTCAGTTTGTTCCTTACTCCATTTTAGGAACTGCTGTTACCATCTGTAATATTATGTCAGTGTCCCGTTATAAACTAATAGACAAATTTTATTTCGTTTACAGGAACGTGACAGTTTTGCTTGGGAACTGTCTCAGTGCCAGCTGCCAAATCGGGTTACGGGTGACAACTTGAGTGACACGGTTCAGCTGTGGCGGGAAGGACTGCTCACAAACTGGGAATATCTCACACAGCTGAACAAGATGGCTGGTCGTTCATATAACGATCTAATGCAGTATCCTGTATTTCCTTTTGTAATTTCTGATTACACTAGTCAAATACTTGACCTTACTGATCCGCAGGCATACAGGTATTTTTATGGATTTATCACTTACCTTCCTTCAAAGAGTTCAGTATTACTCAGTTGTGATGTACATTTAATGTGGTTATAGTCTGTTGATGGGAATGTTGCTGTGTAATAAGGAAAATGTTCTTAAAGTATGAAACTATTAACTGACCTAATTTTAATCCCTCTCTGTTATAGTATTTGCTTCCTAATAACTCATTTTTACCACATTCTTGATCATTCTTGGTAATGGAATGTCATTTTTGTTTATCCTCGTAGGTTTTTAATTTTACAGTTTTGCTGCACAGTCGATCTTCCTCTCAAACTTAATGTTTCTGATCTTTATAATATGTGATTGCATCATGCGCCTTATTTGTGTTTCGTTTACTGAATTAGAACCACTGAAATATGTATTACTATCGGTTTCAGGAACTTCAAGAAGCCAATGGCAGTCCAAGACAAGAAGAATGAACAGCATTATATCAACAATTATAATGTAAGATATTCTTGACTGGTTTTCTGTCAGTTTTACGGTTCCTGAGAATATGCTTGAATAAGGTTTTGTCATGTTGCGTTACTCTGTGGTCCATGTATTATTCTTACTGATAAGTATCGAAGGAATTCAGTCTGTTGTAGCTGATTTTACGTCTTGCGTTACAGTATTTGAAACAGGAGCTTATGGAAGGTCTCCATCTGGTGGCTCTTAACCAGGAGCCATACCACTATGGCTCCCATTATTCCAATTCAGGGACGATACTCCACTTCTTGGTTCGTCTTCCACCCTTCACACGAATGTTCCTCACTTACCAAGGTAAACGAGAATGTGAAATTTGACTGTGTTGGTATAAGGTTAACTTACTGACTGACTCCGTGGAATAGTTGTGAGAGTTTCCCATCAGCGAGTGCACAACAAAGAATCGGATTTGTTACCCAGCAACCCTGAGGACAAGAGCGTAGATTGTTCTCGAAATGTCAGAATATATGGTTTATTCACCATTCAGCCACCTGACGCGGCTTGTAACATGAGAGTTTTTCATCAACTTAAGTCGCCGCGAAAGCTTTACTTCATACATAAGTCATGATATTCATTTATCGGATCAAGAAATGTGCGTCTTTTATGGAAACAATGTCCACAGTAGTATTTTTATATAGGTTCAGTCTGAATAATTTAAGAACTGCTTTACATCAGGGCCTAAATTAACTTTTTTGTATATCTTTTTAGTTATTTTACATATTTTGATAAAACCTGATATACGGGTATACGGCACATAACGTTACATGAGTATTGCCATGCATAAGTTAGTTTTATTCTTTTAATAATATTAAGAGCCCAAGTAGCCTTTGCTTGTATATTTTGTTTCTTTGAAGTTTTATATACAGTGCTTCTGTCACATGACTATTATCAGTATTAATTGTCATTTGCTTAATTCTCTCCAAGGGCCTAAATGAACTTTTAGATGTGCCTTCAGAGTATTTCCACAAATTTTGATGAAACTCGTATGGAGGCAGTAGGCATCTCCGACACTTTGGTAAACTTCTCTGAGACTACATGACTACATGATGCAACAACCCAGAAAACAGCCATTTGCATGTTGATGTTGGTTTAGGTGAGATTAAATCAGCAGTTGAAATAAACAGTTTATTCATTTCCAGATGATAACTTTGATATTCCTGATCGAACATTTCATTCTTTACATACAACATGGCGACTTACGAGCTCAGATTCAACCACTGATGTGAAAGAACTCATTCCAGAGTTCTTCTTCCTACCGGAGTTCTTGCGGAATTCGGAAGGTATAACCCTTGAAGATATTTCTTTTTTGAAATTGGACCAGTCGTTCATTTTAATATTTTTGTTACTGTATGTTTGAACTCTTAACACTGGTACATGATTCGATGAATCTGATAAACTTTCTGACATCATATTACATAACATTATATTCCTTCGTTGTTGAAGAATGTACATGTTAAGTATGCAGTTTTATAATAAGCTGTCTCTGCATGTGATAGTTTATTTAATCACAAGATTGCTGGAAGCTATAATTGTGCACTTTTTATTGATCTTAGTCAGTTATGGACTGTTAAGGAGGTTTGAAAATCAATTTAATGAAGATTAACTGTGCATTCCTGAACTTAGAGAATGTTTAACTTTAAGCTCTGTGTCTACTGCTGCTTTTCAGATTTCAATTTTGGAGTTCGTCAAAGTGGAGAGCGAGTAAACGATGTTGAATTGCCTCCGTGGAGCCATGGTGATGCCAGACGATTTGTATTAATTCACCGTCAGGCACTTGAGTCGGCACATGCCCGTGAAAACTTGCCTCTCTGGATTGATCTTGTCTTTGGATACAAACAAACCGGCAAAGCAGCTGTTGAAGCCATCAATGTGTTTCACCCAGCGGTATAGTTTCATTTTGTTTCTTCACAAAATGAAATTTTAATAAAAATAAGGTCATATTATGCTTTCATTTTAACATACTACTCCTTAGTCCCTGTCTGATTATGTAGTTTAACATGTAATTATCAAAACTTCTGTGTTTCAGACGTACTGTGGTTTTGATGTGGAGAAGATACGTGACCCTTTGGAGAGGAAAGCATGGAAAACGATGGTACGAACTTATGGACAAACCCCACGACAGCTGTTTCGTTCAGCTCATCCAATGGTGGTCCAGTCATTGTCTTCCCGGACATTGTCTTCATCTGTGGTAAGTGAGCAATGATTGTAGTGAGTCTTTTTTTTTATTTAAAAATGCGAGATGATCGAAAAGTGAGTTGTTTTAATTTCTATTGTATAAATTTATAAATGAGGATGAGATGGAAAGAACATGTAGCACATTTGGGGGGAGTTGAGACATTTCTACAAAATATTGGAAAAACTGAAGGGAAGAGCTCACTTGGGAGATGTGGGAAGAGATAGGAGGAAAATATTAAATGGATCTTAAGTAGGGTCAGAGGGTATGAACTGGATTTATCTGTCTCAAGATAAGGACCTGTGGTGGGCACTTGTGAAAATGGTAATGAACCTTCAGGTTCCATAAAAAGGTGAGAATTTCTCGACTAGCTTAGGGACTGTTAACTTCTCAAAAAGGACTGTGCTCCATGGAGTGAGTAAATTGGTTAGTTAGTTAGCTGGTTAGTGAGCATACGGTTATGAACTGATCAGTTGTGTATTCTGATCTCTGCAGCGATGTTATGATTATTTAATCCTGTGATTAATTTATTTGATCACAGTTCAGTAACTGAATTTATATTTGTACAGAAATGTGTTGCAGTAATTAGAAAGTCTTTCCATTGTTTGACAGAGAGAAGTAGTTCCTGGTGTGAAAGGTTTGCTGTGGGGAAGTTATGTCGGCTCCCTCGCCGACGCAGATCCTGTAGTAGTGTGGAAGCACCAGCATCGCACTCCAGTTGCCAGCCTTGTTCCTTTGCTAACTAATGATGTGTTTGGTCTAGCTCCACAGACGTCCATTCTACTTAAGTACAGCAAAGAAAAGGGTAATTTAAAAAGGAAACAGTTTGAGAGTTTGTTTATTCATTTATTGTTTTATGTGCGTATGAAACTTCACCCTTTGCTCCAAGGGAAGAACAGCGATTAATGTTCATGTGTTCAGGACTCACTGTGGTTTCTTGACACTTGCATTATCATTTTGGGAACATGACACCATACACCATGTTGTGGTTGCTTATTTTGCCACGTCCGTTTCTGCTAGTCGCCGTGTATTTATGTTTTACGTTACAGGACTCAGCATGGTAAATGGTACCTCAGTGCTGGGGGCAGCGCTGGTAACATGGGGTCACGCGGATGGCGTTGTCAGAGTCAAGCTGAAGAAGGAGCAACCCCCATGGCCTATCGTGAAGTCGCCTGGCCTTGATCCGGTGAATTAGCCATTGTAGTATGACGTTTTAAAGAAAAGTTATTTTTGCCACTTAACCTTGTTTGTAAGCATGCTGAAGATACGAAGGTGCAAATTCATATGATTCCTTGAAAAGCGAAACACACAGTTGTCACTAGTTATCTGTGTAACACGAGAAGATACGACTGTCTTCATGAGTATTAATATAGGTTACGTACTTTATGAGGAAAATTTACTGTGTGTCAAAATTAATTTTAAACATAAAGGTTTATATGACATGAGTTATGAAAATATTTTTTTATTACGAGTGCTTTTGTGAAATGGGTATATGAATAATTATGTAGTTTCATCTTTGTTCTGTTATGGTTTTAAATTATGAGTTAACAAACAAACAACAAAAAAGAAAAGGAAGGTGGGGATAATTTGATTCTGTTATAAGGTTCTGCATTGTAGAAAATGTAACTTCAGCATTCTGGAAAATGTGGCAAAGAAAAAGTTGAGTTACGTCTGGGAACTTTCTAACCACGGGACTGACTTAATAATGAAAATTGTCTTTGCTGTTGCTTTCAGATCTGTACGTGTGCAAGTGTACCTGATTGCAGTCAACTGTGGATGGGACATTGGTCGGGGAAACTGGCTGTATATGAATATAAGTTTATGCCTGCCAGGGGTCATCTGGAATTCAATAGTCAACCAGTGACACTTCTTGGGCATGAAGGACCTATTCAAAATATCTACATCTGTTGTAGTTTCAGCATTGTAGTTTCTGGAAGTCAAGATGGATCTGCAATTATCTGGGATCTCAACAAGTAAGTACAGGCTGTTTCTTAACATGTCTTCCTGAATATGAAGCAAAGAGTTTTCCTTTTGATTAGGGGGGGGGGGGTGTTAAAATGGCAAAGTTTATTTTAAAATATGTTGTATTAACACTTCCTGTATTAATCAGATGAAGCTAGTGGATGTGAAAATGTGAAGTGGACAAAGTAAAGAAACTGCCTTATAAAGTGAAGTTGATGAAAGACTCTCGGGCATCAAGCCGCGTCAGGTGGCTGAATGGTGAGTGAACCATTTCTTCCGCCAAGGGATGATGAGGGCAGAGATGACTCTCGAAACATTGGCGGAAGAAATGGTTCACTCACCATTCAGCCACCTGACGCGGCTTGTTGCCCGAGAATCTTTCATTAATGAAACCGCTGTTTCATCTTTTTTGAGTATAACAAAAATTTCTCAAAGCTTGTCGTATCATAACAAAAGGATAAATGGAAGCTAACAACCATGTATCCTAGCAACTAGGTTCAGATTTCAGAAAGAGAAGCTGCCTGTTATTGGTTCCTTTGTAACAGAACTGGTTGTAGTTCCTCAGTTTTACCCATGTGTCAGGTACAGTACAATATTATTGCTACTGTTTCTGTTGTCATAGCTAAAGGTTCGGCACCCTAAATATCAAAGCCTTGTGACTACATATTTTTAAGCTGTTGCTTATAGTGTTAGGAACAGTAGCAGTAGTAGAAATTAAAATACTGATGTGATATATATTTGCAGTTTGTCATATGTGCGCTGCATTTCTGGCAACAACATGACAATGCCAGTGAATATCGTGTCTGTGAGTGAGACCCTTGGGGACATCGCGACAGTTAGCAGCGCTAATTCTGGCAGTCTGGATTCAGCAACAGGGGGCAGTTTGTTACGGTTGCATTCCGTCAACGCAGTGCCGATCGGGACTGTCTCTATGGCAGAGTCTATAACAGCGCTCTGTTTCTCTGGTGCACCAGAGGGTGTATCTGTGAATGTCATAGCAGCCGGCTTAGCCACTGGAGCCATTAGGTTAGACATTTGTTATTTACTTTGATTTATCTTACTGGATTTCATCTTATTCTTAAGGGAAACTGATATTAAAAGAGTTCCAGAGAGCTTTGCAGTATCAGCCTTATTCTTAAGGGAAACTGATATTAAAAAAGTCCCAGAGAGCTTTGCAGTATCAGCTGCCTTGAAGCGTTAAAATATACAAGTTTCATTCATGACTGCATGTGAAAGGCGGTGTTTTGTTTTGCAGACTTTGGAGCACGTGGGATCTGTCTCCAGTCCGAGAAATTTCTACAAGTTTTATTGCGCGTCCGATCATCAGGTATTCACTTTTAAATACTCTTCTTTGAAATGTCTTCATCTTGAGGACAAGTATTTACATTTATAGAGCTATACAGATCAGCTAGCTGCATTCAGAGTGCCAGTGCGAAAAATGTGTATAGAACTCTGGTATTGAGTGAATGTTTCCAATCTTGTTTTGTTTTACAGTACTGGAACCCTTTATCCAGAAAGGCAGGGAACTAAGGCTTTCCACATTTTAGCATGATCTGGATTTTGGAGATTATTCATTTACTGTTTTATGCTTTCTCTTCATAGTTTTGCAATCCTCAGAACTCACTGTTGGCCTTTTAGATATTTTAAAGGGTAAACCTAGTAAGTACTAAATAAAACTTAAATGGCGAATCATACAGTACTTCCAAAGGACTGATGAAACAAGCAGCTAGCAGTAAGAAGACCATTGACAGTGGTGCCACTCACACATATCGATGAGTCAAAGAACTGCGAAGCATCAGTTATAAACAAGAAAAATGTAGGAAATGGTTCAGATGCATATTTTACGAATGTTTTCGGGTTTTTCTATCGCTGTTTGGTGATGGCCTTAGCAAGGTTTTTAGAAGACCTCCATGCAAACTGATATAATCCCTATAATTTTGTTTCAGTCTGACTTATTCCCAGGATGCACAGCATCTGTACGCGTCAGCGGCGGATGGGAGCGTCGTCATCTGGGAAGGGGGAGGAGGTACAGGGTCAAAGGGCATCAGCAAGACACCCAAGTTCCTCAATCTCACATCTTTGTGAGGCACATTAAATTAGTGCAAGAGCAGGATTCATCAAGATGATGTTTGTTCTTTAGATCTGGAATTCAGGAATATCAGTTATATATAATTAATTTTACAATTTGGAGTACAACCTATGTTTTCTGTTATTATGTTCAGCTACTGTAACTTTTGTTATCAGTCATACATTTTATCAACAGCTTCCATATCCTAGAGACCATCAGACTCCATTTTTGAAAATCTCAGTATGTATTTATGCCACAGATATTTTAGTTTCCAAAGATTTTTAAAGATAATAATATAGTATATTACAACAGCTCGAAGGTTTGAAAAGATGAACTAATACTTGGATATTCTCATCTTCTGTGTGACTGAGGTTATCTTGCAGAATACTGAACCATACCTAGTCTCTCCCTTACTGATAATATGAGCACTTGCCTACGAGTTGTTTGAGTAAAAAGCAAATGCGCTTGTGTTATAGTGAGATACCAGTGCTGAGAACACAGAGGTATGATACGACTGGAAAATGATAATGACAAGTTGTAACTACGAAGAAAACATCTTTTATTAGTCTGTAAAATACTTTCATTGACTAACTTCATGTAGCAAAGTTCTTCCTGATTGGTTACTCACTTGTTAAAGGTATTTCCCACCTCCCTGTTCACAACAGCCCACCAATTCAGTGTTACATTTTGTAATATACTAGTCTTTTAGGGTCAGGGATTGTCAGGCTCCCATTGAATCTTGAGGACCTCCCCTTGTCAGCTGTCCATCACTGCGTATTCAGTATATTTACAACTGCCTCACATGTGTGGAGATCATGCCTCAGTCTGCAGCCTGAGAACATGCCGTGTTGACAAGGAACACGCTTAACGTCGTTATAACTTCGCTGCACGCATTTACGTGTGGATGTGTTTCTCACATCTGACAGAGTTGTGTTCTTCAACTGGATTTATGAAACGGATGTTATCATTTGTGGCATTTTCGTGTTTGGATTCTTTGGAGAAGATGGTCTATACAGATTTTTTTTTTTTTTTGTGAAATCAGATTTTTTAGTGCTCGTTATAGATGAGGTTTCCTTTATGATTTGTTTTGATGACAGTTCTAATTTTTCTTTTATGTTCTTGTGGGTTGTGCCACTGTATAGTGTTAATATTTGTCCCCTTTGGAATACAAATTGGGAAAGAAGTTTCTTCTAATATATATATAGTTGACAGGATATCTCAGTGATTCTAGCGACTAGGCTGTGGGCTAGATTACCAGGATTTAGTTCTTATCAGGGATCATCCAGAATATCCAGACAAGTTCTGGGACTCACCCAGTCTCCTACCCAATGAGGATTGAGATTCTTTCCTTGGCAACCAGAGCGTGAAGCCAGCCGCTCACCTCGACCTGGTTCTGAAGTTTAGAATGGATGGAGCTGTTCCTGTTTAGCTAAGCACCAGGCACAACTTTACCTCATCTTTGAAACAGTTATAGTACATTTCTAAAGCAGTCCAATGATTAAGACCCATTATATATTGTGTAATATCAGCATCAAATCGTTGATTAAACTTAATATGATCGTGGCAAGTTTTTTGTTTGTGGATTCGGGTAGGTGACATTTGTATCGAAAAACAACTGGTCAATTGGATAGTATATACAAGCGTAATAGTGAGATGATCCGGAAATGAATTCCTTTTTTTTTACCAAAAAAATTAAAACTGAAAAAATCAGAATTATAATGAGGCATCAGAGAACAGGAGAGAACTTTGCCACCGCCTAAGTGATGTATGTTTTATTTTTGCTACCTTATATAATGGACATGTTGAATAGAGACTCATTGCATCACAGAAGTTGAAAGTTATATCCATGCTCTTTAATCAGAGATAGTTAAATGGTTGTGAGATTTAAGGTTTTCATGGCAGTAACAATGATGATGATCTTCTGGATTTTGGTACCTTGTGGACTGATCAGGAGATGGCAACATTTCAGAGAAACATACTGTTTCCATCTTCAAGGTTGGTTTGTATCAAGACACTGAACTGCTAGGCATTTGTTCACAAGATGGATTACATATCAAAATCGTACAGCTTCATGTGTCAATGAACATTTATCATATGGTTACAGGGATTTAAGCCCTTGAACCAAGGGGCTGCTAGCTTCATTTATGTATAGGATTTAATCGCCTAGCGATATGATACTGTGATGCACAGTTGATAAATGTTAAAATGAAAGGAGTTTAGTCTCATTCAAAAATTATGTACAGATCTACAACACTTCCTCTTGAACGTATGAGTCCCAGGAGATTGTACAAAGTTCATTACAGAACAGTAAATCCAACAATTTTTTGGTGGGTGTCGTGCAAATCATCTGAAAAATGAATCAGAGATTCATCCTCCAAACGTGCAGAGGTGTCTCTTAAATTACTGTAGTTGTGTTGTATCTTTATTCCCATTTAAACTGATAGAACCTATTCATTTCACCAATTTGCTATTGCGTGCTTTTAAATGTAAATAAAAGTGGAAGGCTGCGGTGATGGTAACAGCAGTGGATGGCATGCGTCAGTTGATTTAGTTTGCTATATATACACACGTTTCATAATCATGACATGTTGAACAAGGTAAGGTGTTAGATACTTTACCTTTAAATGTATTTTATATTTGAGTTACATGATTCAGATGATGATTTTGAGAAGTACATAAAAATATGTTTTTGGTTTAGATGCACAGATGAACAGATACAGCTTAGATCAAGCATTTAATTTTACTTTAAGTGATTTTTTAATGTAAATATTGTAGAGCTGGGGTATCCAAGTCAGTATAGTGACTAGCTACGGGCTGGATGACGGGTTCGATCCGTGTTGGGGGCGGAGGATTTTCCCTAAAGCTTCTGTGTCCAGACTGGCTCTAGGGCCTGCCCAGCCTCCTGTCCAATGGGTACCGGGGTCCTATCCCAGGGGTAAAGCGTGGCCGTGGCATGATGCTGACTGCTCACCCCCAACTAGTGCCGAGGTCAAGAATGAGCAGGAGCTATACCACCTCCCCCCCCCAAAAAAAGAAAAAAGAAAAAAAAGAAACCTACATGGCATGTAGCAGGACTGCTTTACTCTTATGTAAATATTGTTTTCTGAACCACTTTCAGGGTATAAAGTGTTGATTAGTAGAAATTTATTAAGAAATGTAGACAAAATAGGTGCAAATATTTCCAATTCATTTCCTGCTCCATTATCAGAATCAATGCAGAAAAGGTGGTTAGGAAATAAATAAACATTGCTTACTGCACTTGGCTGTCATTACGTGAAATCTCATGTTCTCGGTGGCAAATATGGAGATGGCTGTCTTCTGGTATAAGTTTACTGACATCTCAGAAGTGCTTGCTGGTTCCGTTATTGTCCTGATGTTGGAGGCAGTAGGCACCTCTGAGGTATCAATGAACTTCTGTCATACCGCACAGTATAACAATTCAGAAGACGACCATCTTCTCGATTGTCACTTTTGATCTTCAAGTCAGGACTTGCAAAACATTGAAATGAAGTTGTTAACTAATCTTATTCCTGAATTCTAGTAAAGTTTCCACCAGGTGTCTAAACACCATACATTATGTAACATGAAGATCAGAAGCTAGTCGCTTGGTATGTCCAGCTTCGTAAGACTACAGTAAAACAATTATGCAATTATGAGTTGGTTCTGTTATATGAAAATATCAAATTCAGTATTTCTGTGCATTTGCTGTTATAGATGTCTTATGTAACCAGTAAAATATTAGTTTTTGACAAACATATGCATGTTCTACCCACAAGTAGTTTAAGTTTATTAGGTTTCAAATGCAAGCACTCGGAACAGACGTGTTTGAATTACGTTATTAAATAAATTTAGCTTCTTACATATTCTGAATAGAACAAAGCTTACATACATAATGTTTTATTAAAATGTTTTTGTCATCGCTATTGCATAATTCAGTGCAATATAAAGTCTCGAACATGTTTCATTGTTGTTAATCAGAAGAGGTTGTTAGTTACAAATTACATTTAGATATTAAAATTTGAGATTAGTGTAATATGAAAATACAAAAGTCTATAAAGATTTATCAGAAACCTAAATAAATGTCAAGATAAGTAATATTAATATTTTAAAGTTGATATCATGATTTTAAATTCAAATGAGGATATTAATGGTTTATTACATATAGTGTTTAAAAAATCTGTGTTAAGAAATTTGTATATTAAGTATCATTTTGCATTTTTATGATTTGAACTCTAATATTGTGGCATTTCATGTTGTGAACAAACTGCAGTCAAACCTGCCATATATTGTGTCATCTCAATTAAAAGGGTAATTATCTTCCCAATAATTTTATATTAGTTCATCTTTTGTACAGATTTTTATTGTTCTATGATTATGTATTTTAAATATGTTTTTATCTATCCATTCATATGCTTATATATTTTTTTTACAATTATTCAGCAGTATTCTGTAGTGTTATAAATTGATTTGTAAATTGCTGAAAAGTACTTAAACATTATATGTTGCAAATATGAATACTGTTTATTTATTTTTTAATGCAAGTTCAGAAAAACATGGATGAGCCTCCCTGTAGTCAAAACATGTTATGTTACTGTAACAGTCCCATTTTCTGTTTCTGAATCAATCCATTACAGCCGTTTAAATAATAAATTTAGTAGGGGGATGCTGTATTAAGTTTAAAAAATTGTTATGATTTCTTTAATTTCTTCGCTGCATGAATTCAATTTAGAATGTTAATATTTCAAGTTCATTAGATTGACTGGACAAAGGCAATTAATTTTGGTGTTTTCTGAGCCACATTCTCACCACTGGGACAGTTGGATGTTGAGACATCTTTGTACTTTTTATGCGTAGATTATTCTTTTTATTTTCTTCAGTTAGTGACTATTCTTGGTGTGATGAAAGATTACAGTTTTGTCGAACTGAAGGAATGTAATTCTATTACACTGTAGGTTTCCTTCCAGTAAAAACTCATCTTAATAATATTTGTGGGAAACAAAGATTTATTAAGGGCTGAATTATAGCATTGAACCACTGAATATATGGTAGCATGGCATCCAAAATATTTTGGGAGGTGTAATCTGGACAACATTTTGAAATGGTTTGAAATATATTGAAATCTCTTCAGCTGTAAGGTATGTATTTACTGCCTTTCTTTTATCAGCATTGTGTGAAATGTCAGATTTACCAGCTGTGCTGATTTGAATCTCAAGTTTTTAGCCATGAGTTTGCTAGATTTACTTTTGGGAGACTGCATCTATTTTCAGTGTTGTGACTGTTTTATGCCTGTCAGATTCCATGTGAAAATATTTTTCACAGTGTAAGGCATAGCAATTGCTGGCCTTAGAAACAAAAAGAGAATTATGATGTTTGTTTTAGAGATGGTCGTGTTCTGGTTTGTGGCGCCATGTATGATTCCCTGCGCTTGTGCCTTCACCAACTTCGCTTATACCACAAAAGTAGGATTTGAGGTTCTCATTGCGTTGAATACGAGGATTGCTGTCTTCTGGGTTGTAGTGCCGTGTAGCCTGGTAGAAGTTTAAAAACGTTTTAGAGGTCTTTGTCTTACTCATCGCCCTGATGATGGAGGTAATGATCACCTCTCGAAAGTTGGTAAATTTTTACCAGTGTGCACGACGCTACAACCCAGAAATCATTTTTCTCTAGAAAAGATTTCGGTTTTCACCTTTAAATACGCACCGTTTCTGATTATCGAGGGCATAAAAGAATATTTAGATTATTATTTTTATTCCCGTAGTATGGTCGAGTATGCGAAGGCTCTGGCATTCACAGATAACATACGGCAACATCGAGTTTAGGCGAAATGTAGTTTATCCGTGATGTGAAGCTTAACGGTAGTTTTGTTGCAGTGGGGTTATTGTCAGATCAAATATATTTGAGTGCATTATATGAATGTAAATTATCTGAAGAATATACGACTGCATCTAAGGATTTGTTTTCGGTATGCACTTTGATGAGGATTTTGCTTTAGCTGCACATTTACAAAACCAATTTCTCGACGGACTAAATGTTAATGACGTAAGTAATAGTAGCTTCTGTTGATCTAATTCAAAATAAATTAATATGTAAGCATTTCAGGTTCAAAGATATTTATCTTCGTTAGTGTACCTCAAAGCAAATAAAACTGGGTTTTATCAAGAAGGAGTTTGCTGCCATGAAAGCATAACTCACTTTGATTTAACCTAATAGGCACATTTAGAATATAATTTGTTGCATTTGTGTTTAGGTTATGAAGTATTTTGAATGTTCCATTTTCATGTCTGTTTTTCATTTATTAAATTTCAGTTAAAACTAACGTCTGTGATAAATTCACATACATACAAGGCACAGGATGTCAAAAACAAATATAATGACAGCAAGAAGAAGTCTCATAAAGAAGCTTCCATTGTAGATTCATCATGGGAATATATCGATCCAACACCAGACATACATGCTCTGTTTATTCAGTTCGACAACCGGTTCTTCTGGGGGAAGTTGAGGAGTGTGGAAGTGAGATGGAGTCGACGAATGACTTCGTAAGGATAGTTTTTGTACATAGATAGTTGTGATTAGGCTGCCAATTTTTTAAATATGGAATTCTTGACCTTAGGTTTATGTGCTTAAAGTTCAATGTAACTTTGGCTTTCACTATGGCCAGAACAACAGACCTGTAAAATAGAAGACTTTCAGAATGTGCACACATTTATCTTAAATCTTCTATTCTTGTTTGCAGATGTGCTGGGGTGTGCTGCTATGAGGGTCGGGGTGGTCTGTGCTCTGTTCGGCTCAGCTTTCCTTTGCTGAAACTGCGTCCCAGAAAGGACCTTGTTGAAACATTGCTGGTGGGTGATATGTATAAATTAGCACTTTGCCCTGTAATTGATTGTATGTATTGCATTTGTTTGTGTATCAAATTGTATAGGGTTAAAGTGTATCCTTCTGCAGTGTACTTCATCTTTTGCTTTGAGAGTACTCATCAGCGGCAGCCTTTTATAGAGCCTCTTATTTACTTTGTGGAAACATTAGATATTATGTAATTTCTGAAGGGTATCATGAATTTTTATGGCAGTTATTGTAGATTATTTTCTTTAAATCTAGAATTATTTTCAGATCGAAGGCCGATGTTCTTTAGAAGTATTGGCAATAGCTCTGAAGGCGAAAACAATAGCTTCACTGTGGCTCACTTCGAGTTAGTGGTGCCTGAAAAATAAAACATGGGTTCAACATTTTTTGTTCGTTTTAAAAAACCCAACTTTAATATCATGTAGCATAAATTTATTTTCACTGATTCCCAAAGATTCAAAAACTGTGGTCCGCGAGGAAATAACAAGTCTGAAAGCTATATTTGCCTGTAGCAAATATTTTATGCCTCTAAATATCAGTCGAAGATACTTTACACATGGTTTACCCACGTCTGTTACCTAAAATCGACATGTCAAAGAACTTTACCGTCGAATCTCTCATATACGAAACGTGTGCTTTTATGAGACTGTGTGGCTTGGAGTGTTTTTCTTTTCCAGCATGAGATGATACACGCGTATCTGTTTGTGACTTGCAACAATCGTGACCGTGAAGGCCACGGACCTGAATTTCATAAGCAAATGTATAGAATCAACAAGGAGGCAGGTACCAATATTACTGTAAGTTCTTATTTTTGTGCATTGTTTTCCATTTAAGCCTTCGGTAAGTTCTTATTTTTGTGCATTGTTTTTAATGTGAGCCTTCGTTTTTAAGATTTGCGTGGGAGAAGCTGGACACGAATTGAGGACATTTTTAGTGGATATAATTTAATATTGATATAATTTTTTGGGACCATGTACTTACTTTGAACTCTAAGTGAGGGGAAAAAATTCTACAGTCAAGAAACATGAATTTAGAATTTTACTGTTCATGTTTTCAAGGACTTAATTTCACTCTCTCTTTATACAGTTCTTTTGTTTTGTCATATTGTTTAATGAAATTCAGTGACCTAAGGAGAATAGCGGGAATTATGGGTTGGCAAGTACACAATTTACTGATCTATTTCTGTCCATTTTTCACATACGTGGTGTTTCGCAGACAAAATATATCCCTTGGAAGATTTTGGCATATTCGAGTTAATTTACTAATCGCTTATGGAATGTGCTGCATGCTACAAAGGCATATAGTAGTTCACGTTGATTTAAAATGTCTGGTGTGAATTCTTTTTAACCATAAAGCCCATTATGCGAGTCGCAAGTGTGTTTGATAAGAATATTGTAGTGTACGTTGACCCTCTCTCAGGTTTACCACAGCTTCCATGAAGAAGTGAAACTATATAAGCAACACTGGTGGCGTTGTGATGGGCCGTGCCAAAATAGACCGCCTTTCTTTGGCATGGTGAAGCGTGCAATGAACCGTCCGCCTGGACCCACTGATTTATGGTGGGAGGAGCACCAAGCGAAGTGTGGGGGACGTCACGTCAAGATTCGCGAGCCTCCGGGATTTTCCGAGAAGAAAGCCAAGCAAGCCGGCAAGAAGGGTAACTTCATCTAGATGTTTTTTGTGTGAATTATGCGACTGTTAACATATTTATTGAAATACCACGCGCATCTTATATTCTGAATTTTAAACATGTTCTCAGTTAGAGAAAGGAAAATTTCATTTTTGGATGAAAGGTTGTAATTTGGATCCAGAATAGTAAAAGAAATGTCAGTCAGAGGCAGTAAAAGTCTCAGAAGAAGTAGGAATCGAAGGATTCGTATCAAGTCGTGGTTTTATGCATAATTTTCACTAGTACTGATCCCAGGTACAGTAAATTTTTTAAAATATAACCTCAAAATTTTGCACTGCTGCCATGTTCCACGAAGTTTCACGCCTCGTGTTTTGCCACGGGTGGAAGTTGGTCTGCGTGTGACCTAATTGTCTTCTCTGTTTCCCTGTATGTGTAATCTTATGGCATTCACATTTATTTCAGTTGTTTCGGCATCGACCGGAAGCAAAGTTGATATTCGAAACTTCTTTCCATCCCACGGAAACAGAAGAATACTCGGAAACACGACAAATAATGGAAGTGTAACAAACAAGACATTAAGCAAAACTAAAAACAAACCTCAATCTTCGTTGCTTTCTAGTTCCACCAATAATATTACAGGTTTCAAGGATTTGTTCGATAAAAACGTGAGCGGCGGTCAATCTCATGACAGACCGAGAACGAATGACTCTGTTGTTGCAAACAAACAAAATGGTGGTTTGTTGCCGAGAGGTAGCCCGAATAACGTGCCCTTTGACGATAAGGCCCACTCTACTTTTTCTTCTAAATGTAAAGACAGTGTAAGAACAAGTACGTCCGGAGGAATGTTGGCCAATAAGGGTGGAGGTACATTAGTGATTACCGCTCAAGGCAGAAATAAGGGTGCCTCATATGGAAATTTAAATAGTGGGAAAAAGGTTATAAATAACATTGTACCTTTCACTGGAAAAGGGTATACGTTAAATGCAGGAAGTGAGACTCATGGAAAGTCTGCAACATTTATGCCAAATTTGATGAAAAACTTTGTTTTATCAGAAGATTCAGGTAATGGTTTAGGTAACAGGACGATGCTTACTGGGGTTACGGCCAACAAACGGAACGGTTCTGCTATTAAAGATGAAGGAAGTAAGAAAATTAAAGGTGCGTCACTTTCGGGCGTAACCTCAAAATCGGATACCGATGATAACGCGGTGCAATGCCCGGTCTGCAACTCGGAGGTTAGAGAACTTGACGTAAATACTCACTTAGACTCTTGTCTCGGAGCTTGCGTTTTTGACGATGGCGCCTCGGCAGTTCAGGAGTGTTGCGTTAAGTCAGTAGGGGATTCCAGAGAAGTTAAGTGTCCAGCATGCAATTCAGGGGTACTGAAATCTGATCTGAACGACCATCTTGATATGTGTTTGGGAAGCGTCTTTGGAAATGGATCAGTCGATGATGATGATGGTGGTGACTGGGATGAGAAAAATGTGGTTGATGGGAAACCTGGTTGTGATATGTGTCCTTGTCCGTGCTGTGCTTCGTTAGTAAAATACGATGAAATGAATACACATCTCGATCATTGCCTTATTGTGGCATTGGAGTGATTAGTAGCTTCTTTATTGTGTGATGGCCATTTGGAAATAACAGATAATGTTTTATTGATAATTAAGAAGTGAGTATCAGAAGTAGAAGAATTATGGGGACCTGTTAATTATTTTGTTACACTTTGATTAATACATCGATATATTTGTTTGTACAATAAAATCCTCTCGGGCTATCAGCTGCGTCAAGCGGTTGACACATGAAGTACCCTGAGGACGAGGACAGAGATGGACCTCGAAACGTTGGTCTCTTTATGTTTTAACTGCTTGACGCGGTTGATAGCCCGAGAGGATTTTATTGTACACGGTCGGCATGAAAGCTCAAGATCATATATTTGTTTGTATTTGGAAGAATAAAGTTGTAGGATCCATAGACGTCTTAATGTATAATTTATAAAAATTATTAGAAATTAGCAGAAATATTTTTATGTTTTACGCAGCCGAACTCAAAGTTTAGCCATGTGTGTGTTTGTATATGTAAAAAAAATGATCATGATATGCTTTTGCTGATAGTATGTTCGAGCTATCAAAATATCTTTAGGTCTGTCCAAGTTTCATGTTTTGATTCTTAATTACAAGTTTAATTTTATAATTTTTACTAATACTGATTATGTGCGTGTACCATCATTTCTTATGTAAGATAAAAATTAACTGCTGTAGCAGTAGGTAGCTCGGCAGCTGACGGAGTACCGCTGACTTACTTATTTGCAGTAGAAGACGCAACGACCGGCCATACTGAAGGAATAAAAAGAAAAAAAATTGGTAACTTGGAACCAAAAACATAATTTATTACTTGCAGCACTGGAAGTGCTTATAAAAACTTAATTAAAATAAAAAAAAATGTGTAAGCTGTCATACAATCTTTAAGTGTTTTCAACCCAGCAGAGTGTGTTTTAAAATTGCTCCATCTGTCTGCCTGTCAGGACAATAACTTCATAATGACTAATCTGATTTTTATGGACTTTTATGTTGGAGTTCTTACAAAGAACTGTCAAGACATTTCAATTTTCATTTGTATTTGTCAATTTTCAACAGCCATTTTATATAAGAACCTGATGGTATTTGTTAGTAACATATTTAATGGTTTTATTATAATTATATTAGTAGCCCATTCTTGTAGTTTCCTACTCCCGTCCCAGAATTATTAGACTGTGTTATTTGGATTTTGATATAAATAATAAAGTAATATATATTGTTCTCCTTCCTATCCATTGATTCAAATGTCATTGCTGTACAACTCTGGTAATGCTACAGAATTTTTCTTGCCAGAATTGTTAAGCTATGCATACATTTCCCAAGTTGTTTGATTAGCATGTGGGGTAGATGTGCCTGAATTGCTGTGCAAAAGACAAAGTTTAGTTCACTTTCACGAGCCGTTTGTATCTTCAGAATCATGTTCTGATTCAGTTTATATTTCCAATTTAGTTTTGTACAGAACGCCATAATCCCCAAAGAAATAGTTACAGAATTATTAACGTGTCTTGGGCTTTAGGATGTGAGTCAAGTTGAATGTTTGATGCGATTCGCACCACAAAAGGATGCTCCCAGCGACCATTGTTCTGTTAGTTACATCTATGAAACTGCATAGTAAACCCTTATGCATTAAACCATTGCCATGACAGCTACTGACATCTATATGCCGCTTATGAATATGCAAAATTTACAAACGGAGACAAAAAATGATGTATTTAAATAGCGTTTGCATGTAAAGCCGGGTAATTTTCCCCTCCCAACCACACCAGAGATGGAGAAACGAAGAGTAATGGAATAAAGGATTTTATAGCCTTCATAACAAGACGTTTAACATATTAGAAACATTTGCAAAACGCTTTTATGCGATACATCAAATCGTCAGTAAAATCGATAGTTTCGAATTCGAAAGCGGTTTCGTTGTGTAATTACCTGGACGCAGATTGTGTTTGTTTAAAAGTGATATTTAGCATACATATTGCATTTGTAAAGAAGATATAACATCAAAGTGGATTTGTGTCTCAGTGCAATATTAATTTTGTTCGGAGTGCGCGTGATAAATACAACATAATTAACCCGTAAACTTACGACCTTTTACATAACCAATGTTTACACCCATTTTCATGCAGTTGTCAACCGAATAGGATTTAGTAGGAATATCAGTGTAATCTGATAAAAGTTAAATAATTATATATGTGGCACTTGTACATCGACAACATAAATATCATTGGTTGTAATCTGCGTGGAAATAAATTTTCGGGATATATGTGCTGAATATACAGACATTGATGAGCTCCTATAAATGTCAAGGTCCACCGTTAGATGTCAGTGGTGATACAAGTGACACCTGCTGCTCCTTGCGGTAAGTAATATAATGTTCTATGGTTACGTGGTAACATATTTTTAGTACTGGATTCGTATAAGACAAAATAATGATAATTTTAAATTGTTTTGGCGGTGGTGTGTTACATTCGAGACAAAATAATGACCTTCGAATTTAAATGAAACCCGGTTATTTGTAAACTGCACAGAAACAATTCTTGTGCAAATGTTGCCAACATAACGTTAATAATTAACCTGTTATGCATAAAATCCTACGTTATACACGTCCTTAAATAAACATAGAAATGTGTACTAGTATCTCGTTTTTGAGAAATTACGCGACGTAGACTGAAGATACACGAAAACTCTCAACTGTGCGAATTGCGTCTTTGTTCTCGTACTTTCTACGTTAGACGCTGGAAATTAAACAAAGCAAATTTTTCTCTCAGGATCTAAAAACATTGTTGTAGCTACAGAGTGCTCTCGTCTGCTATTCTACGTCTTACGATCTCACGGGGATATTTGGTTGGATACAACCGGTTGCCTAGACAGAGTGCATTGCGTTCTATGGACGAGTCATTCATAAAATTAATTTTAAAAAACACCCAAGGCTACATAATAAATACAGGAATATTTCTGTCTCTTTTTTGTGGGGGTGGTGCCTCGTTGATGGTAATTATTTGGTTTTTAACGTCAATCTTTGATACAGACGCAGTAGATTTGCTATTATACCACGCCAACCGCTTTTCAATTGTTCCGTACGTGTTACAATCGCACGATTCAGTATTGCGTCTATGAAAATTTCCCTTGGAGGGCGTGGCTTAGACGTTGTGAGGTTTACGATAGAGGCCGTTGGTGAGGACCTGGAAACTTCGGGTTCCATAAATGACTGGGAGTTTTTTTTGACAAGATGAGCGACTGTCAGCTTCTCAAGATGTACACTGCGCCACGAGTTATTTGTTGGTTTCTGAAGAAATACCCAAAAATTACGAAAAAGAAGCTAATATAAAGAAACGCTTTCAATAAAATATTACCGATAATAAAATTGAATATCGTGATCGTTTGGTTTGGAGAAAAAATGTTACCGTTGAACAATAGAAACGAATCATGGCTTATATTTGAAAGTAGAAACCTCACATTACGCTCTGTCTTTTGAAGTAGGTTCGTTATCCGGTAAGAGCACGCTTTTTTTTTAGTAGTTGGGAGGGGGAGGGGGGGAGGTCTCTCTCCAGATGTTTTCACTTTCGATTTCTTCAACAGCAGATATTATACGAGCGAAACTCATTAAGTTCAACTGTTCTCGGAATTTACAATACAAACTTGACTACGCTTTAATTTCCTTTTTTACGTGAAGACTGCAGGGAAAATAAACAGTCATGATTTAACATTCGCTAAGAATTTACTTTTGACAGTTGGTATGGTATTTCAGTAAAGGATTTTTTTTTTTTGGTATCACGTGGAATGTATGTCTGCGAGAACAAGAAGTCCTTTTATCCTCTTGACATGGAATGTCGTGCAACAACTTTTTAAGAAAACTTGCTTTTCAGTTAATCAGGTTGTTAAATGGATTCGTTGTATCGTACTCTCGAACCCCGTGTCCTGTTCTTGTCTGCGAACTCTTCAAGTGTTTGTCCTTTCCAGGACTAGAAGAAGACAGGACAAAGATTGAAAAACCTTAACACTGAAAGAATCCAGACATACTCCAGATTTGGAAGTTGAAACGTTGTTTTATGATGTCTGTGTGTGGGGGAGTGAAAGGAAAATGTGTCTAAAATGGATTTGTCCCCCTCCTCTCTCTCTCACTCGCTCGTTTTGTCTGAGATGCTGATAAATTATAATGCATCCTCCATAAACGGAGGATCTTTAAATGCCATGTTGGTTGTTAAGTCTCTGCAGCGAGGGCAATTCATCTCGATCCGTGGGTGAGTATTTTACTAAAGTCTGGTGGTGATGGTAATGGTTACTGCCCATATTAGAAGCATTTACCTTCTGCTAGTTCAAATCGAAACAAAAAGATATTTATCTGAGTAGATGTTTTTGGAACGTCTCTCTTAAGACACCGACAAAACGTATTTAGTTAGGTACTGCACTCTGGAATTTGAATCCAAAGTCAAACATCGCCCACTCAAGAACCCTAATTTGTTTGACTAAACACGATGTTGGAGGGGCTGTTAAAAATTTTGGTGCAATAAATTGAACCGTAATGAAATACGAGCATTATTTCAGGTTACGTATAAATAAAGTAATCTTAGCTCAGTACATGTAAGTAGACTTATGTCTATTATTTACTGTTGATCTGTTATAATTTAAATAAGTTTACAAAATAATATAAATATAATCTTCTATATGCAAAATAAGCTTACTTAACAAATAATCACGCGTTTATTGATTAACGAAACATCAGTAGATTTTTATGTTTAACAAATGTATACGAAGACCAACGTTAGATACAAATTACAAATTTGGAAAATGTATTAAAATCAGGAGTCCCCCGTTTGACTCGCGTGAAACACTCGTATTAAAATCGACTAAAGCTCCTCTTGGAATCTTCTTCACGAACATTCTGTAGTAAAGTGTAATTCTAAACAGACCTTGAACACAAGAAAGCTGTCCAGCCACGCATTTGCCCTTAGCCTGAGAAACAGAAATTCTCTCCGGAAATGGTTTGCAGTGGAGTCTCAAAGACTTCAAGACGCTCTACAGGAAATGGACACGAATAAGACGCCGTCATCTGGACCAGACATCCTTCTCTCCTCAAAGTTTCACGTCCCATTGGACGTGGACTTGATTTCACTCCGCCGTGTGTGTGAGTACCTTTCGTTCAAGAGAATCTTTGAGCTCTCTTTACGACTTTAGCCATGTTCTCTGACGCTGAAACGGCTCACAAAGGGTTTATAACTTATAACGACAGGTTCGTAATTGCTTTAACAATCGCGAAAGATGAAGTTCGAGGGAAAACAAGAATGGTTTAGACCAGTGGTATTCAACCTTTTTGTTCGCGTACCCCCAGATATAATTTCTTTTCAACTAACTTTGTACCCCCAAAGTTGTTGGTGTATAATTCAAGTTATACATAATATATAATTCACATCTAAAATAAATAAAACAAATTACATTACTGATTATTCAGTGTTTATCATAAAATATATATTTTTTTAAAAAAATTCACGTCCCCCTAAGATTTCTTCGCGTACCCCAGGCTTGAATACCACTGGTTTAGACGTCTTGTCGAAACTAACCAACTCCATGGATCAGAGTCCTTGAGAAGCTAATAGTTTCTTAGCTTTTCTATGGTCTTCCCATCTATTCCTCGGTCTTCCAGTGGTCTCTTTCCTTTAGGTTTTCAGTTAATATTCTGTATGCATTTTTTTGTCTGTCCCATGCGTGCTGCACGTCCTGCGCATTTCATCTTAAAAATTATATTTACGAATAATCTATTTCGGATTTCCCGTCTAACGTTATTTTATTTTTTATTAAGGAGCACAAACCTGTCAGGAGGACTACCTCTTGTCGGCTGTCCTTGGCTTCTTATTCAATATATTTGAAGCTATTCTCCATACCTGGAGGACGGTTTCTCTGTCTACAACTTAAGGACTTAGTAATAAATCACCAGCCTGAACGAAAATCATTTAAATAAAAGAAAATGTCGGATAGTCTAAATTAAGAAAGAGATATTTTTGCGTGTTACCGGCGTATAATGTGAGCCCACTATTTTTAAAATTATGATGTTAAAGCTTAATTTAATAACATTTATTATTTACTTAGATTTGTTAAAATGGGCAAATAAAACGTTTAGTTACACAAACGAATGAAAGTTACTGCTACTGATAGTAAAAATTGGTCATGACTATTTAACACGTCACATTAAATAATCTGTTATTGAAAATTTAATAGAC